AACACGCACAACAACCTCAGCAAGCCAGTTAGCTGCTAGAAAAACCCGTCGTCGAACGCAGCCGCAAGCCCATAGCGGGACAAGGTGGCGGCAAACAAAAACTGCTCTGTATAACTTGTTGCAACCTTTGGTTAGCTCGCAACCAGCTGGGTGGACTTCTTGCTGAGATGTTTGTTTGGCGTGTGTAAGTGTAGGTTTAAGACTTTCAGTTGTCGAGTAGAGTAGTGCCGGGTGTGCACAAGCAACATCACACCTGTGTGCATCACAACATTATTGCATCACCTTTGTCACACACGCTTTCGCGATATCCGGGGTCTAATTTCATTTGCGCTGCTCAGATCGTGCGAAGCTTGTGTATCACATTAATTTCCCCAAAGCCGGCTCAAGGCAATATGTTGAATTTGTCTGGCTTCCTGCACCACAGGAAGGCAGTGAGGAAGGCTCTGGTGTCCAGAGATGCTTCTTCTTTTTCCGGCCGGCATAAAGGGCAGCCCAGGGGTTGCATCAAGGGTCGCCAGCATGTTGCAAGGAGTCGCAACTTTGGGACCACTTTTTCTCCTTGCCGTTGCGGGGGCAAGCCTTATATGTGTGGGCTCTTGGTCAAGCGGTCAGCTTTCGTGAGGCAGTGACAAAGGACCGGAGCGCCGGCAAAGTTCTGCGGCAAGCTGCGCGGCAAACCGCAGCTCGCCCCGAGTGGGCGCCACAAAAGCAAGAACACACGACTTGTCGCATGTCTGGAATGCCGCGTGGCGGTACCTTCCCTCCCGGTCGAAGGCGAGCTGCACACCCTGTGAGCACGATCCAGCGCAGTTTCGGGAGCAGATCGGCCGGGAACATGCGAGCGGATCAGCATGAACAACAAGCATGGTAGCAAAGGCTAGGGCAAGCTTCAACTGCAAGAAGGCAAGGTGGACTTCAACAATTCGAGCGGCCGCGCTGTGCCACCCACGGGTCTGGCACATCAGCATCGAAGCAGCGCAATGCCAACTCGCAGTTCGCGCTTCCAACTTGGGCGTGTTAAAGCTTTGCGTGGCAGAACGCCAAACATGTGACTCATTGGCCGTGCGTCTAACGATGCAAAGCATGCCATGTAGCAAGACGTTGAGGGCCAGCATGCAAAGAAATACAAACAACGCAAGTAACTTACAAGCATACATGGCAGCATGTGCAGCGCGCAACTGAAGTGCCAGCATGCGACCCGACTGCCAATGGGAATCGAAATCGACTTACAGGCCATGGTGAAAACGCTCAATGCAAAACATGGCCGCTGTCGGTATGCAACGAACACGCAATCAAAGGCAATGAGATTTGGGGTGCGTTTTTTTGTTGGGAACTCCCCCCATTTTTTTGGGGGGTTTCCCTTTAAAACCATCCAACAAGTAGGTCCCCCATTTTGAGACACCCCCATTTTAAGTCCAGCAAACTTCGTCGGCAATAGTTTCAAGTTCAAATATGTCTCCCTCGCACCGGCGACTCACGTGCGACTCAATGGCTCCACGTTGTACACGTGCGTCTCCCTGAAACAGTTTCTGTGCCAGCATGCTTCTTAACATGAACCTCTGGCAACGTGTTTCGTGCCGCGATGCGAGGACTGCAATACAATTACTGGAAGGACCTGCTGGCGAGTGGCAACTACAAAAACAGCCATTCACTGGCAATGAGTTTAGTGCCACGCAAACCAAAGCAACGCGACTGTCTGATTTCCGCGTACTTGGATCTACCTTGCCTTTGGCGCTGCTGTTGAGCAAGCCCTGGGTGCCACTTCATCTACACTGCGAAACCGAAAGGTTGGTTTCAGACAGATCCGACCGAGACGTTGGCGTTGGCAGCAGATGTGCTTGGCGGAAAGAAGCAAAAGGGCACCAGCAGCCTTCGGCGCCTTCAAGTCAGTGGCCAATGGCGGCAGCTGAACGCCTCGCGGAGTCTCGGCGGCCCACCTCCCTCTGATCGTCGCTTGTCGCGGGTTCTCTGTGCGCTCGGCGAAAGAGCGGGACCCAAGACCAGCGGAAAGAGGGAAACAATACCCAGGCCAGATGCGCTGCCTTCAAAGACATGGCTGTGGGTCAAAATTAAACCACCAGGATATGGACCGCAGGTTTTAGTCCTTGGTTCCATTTATGAGGGTTCCATTTTGGGCACCTATTTTTGACCCACAGCCACATAGCGTCAAATGCTTTTCCCGGATTGGTCAACCTGGCCAATGAACAGGGGCGACTCCCAAGCTGCTGTGTCTCTTGTTTTCCGCCCGGCAGTCCAACCGTCAGCTGTTGGTCAGCGCCGACTGGGAACATATGCGAATCCGCTCGTGGCATCTCAGGGTTCTACTTGGTTCCCAACAAACTGTTTGAAGAATTTGGAGTAAAGCGATAGGTGATAGGAAACATGGGACCAACTTCACCCTAAATTGCCCCCTGAAACGAACCCATAGTTCCAAAGACAAAGAACTTCTCCGGGTATCCGGCTCCGGTCTAATGTTGAAGAGGAGGTCTCACTCGACCCTTAGGCCCCTTTTTGCCTGGGTGTGAGTGCCGACACTTGCTTCGGACCGGGCTACGCCAGACTCAGCCATGGGAAACCTTGGAAGGCTTCACGTGTGGGTCGAACAAGAAAGCCCAATGTTTAAACAATAAACCACCAGCACCTTCAGCGTTGTCTATCCGACTCCAGGTGAATGCCACAAGCGAAGACCTTGTCAGCGTCTCAGCCCTCAGACTTGCCCGCTGGCTTGCGGAGTCCAGGTCTGCCAGCGCGAAAAAATGCGGCTGCGTCAGGAGGGCTCGGTCTGCATCGTGCAACCACCAAATGGAAAGTGCAGTGCCACCTTCATCTTCTAGGTCCTCCAGTAGAGAGGTCAGAATAAGTTGGTACCCTTTTTTCCTGTAGTCTATCTTAGTAGGGGAACCCTCCCCGAGAAAAGGGTAAAAGGGAACTACTGGGAGACCTAGTCATTTTCCTGTTGCCAAGTAGAATCTTACCAGAGAGCACAATGGGCACAAAAGCCGAGCGATGCAGAACCGGGCTTCAAGTTGAAGCCAGCCGCAAGCACGCCGCATCTTTCGCGGCAAGGGGCCCCGGCGTCAAGCGCCAGGCTGCCACTGCTTGGCAGCGGCTGGTCGGGTCAATCTGCCAACAACCGCCCCAAAATGTCCGCCCGTTCGTCGAAAGGGAGAGGCGAAACACGAGACCTAGCTGGGACTAGTGAAAAAAGATGCCCACAACCCATGCGACAAACTCCGTGTTGAAGGTTTCGTGCAACTCAAATTCTATTATAGGATACACCAGCTTAAGCAATCGAGTATTCCGTTCCGCCTAATAAAAGAAGTCCCCTGCGAAAAACATGATTGATCATCAAGGGTCCCTCATATAAGCTCCCCCCATTCCGGGCACTCCCTAGTGAGAAATCGCTGGCTCATTGCTTTTGAATTGGCCTATTCTGTGTTTGAGTATTGGCGACTTTGGAGTTTGGACGACCAATTTGGGCGTGTATTTATTAAGGGTACCCTCTTTGGTGGCTTTAAAGGTAAATCAAAAGGAAAACCGATGCCATTTTGAGAGTCCCCTAAAAATGACATACATATGTTCATTTTCTTGGGGACCTTTAGCGTACGCGGCAGGCCCCCGTTTGCTTTGCCGGCTGGTTTGGTTTCCTGAAAACACCTCATTGATCTTTCCATCAATTGATTGATAAAGTGACCGCTTGACTGATTGGGGGGAGAGGCACTTCACTGCGTGGACTGGCCAAAAACCGTCTGAACTATTGGTTGTGAGGGATCAGACAAAAAACAGATCAAACAAACAAATAAGTCTCAGATACTGGGCAGGAGGAAAGCAGTGTGGCGGCGGAAGAGTTGGTAAGAGTCGTTGTTTTGGGTTCGGCAGGCCGCTGCTAGGTTCAGCAGGCGCGTTTGGGATTTGTGGCCCATGGCCAGGTCCTGTGCTCGCATCGGTTTCCGGTGACCACGGTGGCTCCACCACCTTCCGGAATTGCGCGAGCGCGGCGGCTGGATGCGACTTCGGCGGCCGCCGGCTCATTCCGGGTGCCCGAGAAATAACGGCGGCGCGGGAGTAAAGGATCGCAGGAGTTGGCTACTTTTGGGGTGTCCGACCTGGTAAAGGGATAAGTACTGAGACCTGTGGTCCCCGAGTGGTTAAATCTTGACCCAAACCCATTTCGGCGTCCGCATGATGGATATGATGGCGACCCCTTGCGACTCGCGACCCCTGAAAGGCCAACGAAGGTCCAACAAATCCCATCGGGAGGGGGTCCCGGGGTGGCCCAAAATCACTCTCCCAAATGGAACTATGGATGGAATTCCGGCGGTCACCCCCAGCAATTCCAACGGGAGATGGTAAAGGTAACTTTCTTCTTTGCGGGAACAACAAACATCATACCCCTTCTTCCTCCAATACCAGTCTGCTCCAAATGTCCACGCTCTTGCATCCTTTGAGCCTTTTTTTTGGGTTTTTTTTTCCCCGAGGAGCCCAGGCAAATCTATGAGCTGCTTCCTTTTGTGGTCTACAGGACCATGATCCCAGGGTTGCTCAAAATACCCAGGCGCAAGGATACTAAGGATATGCAGCGGTTTGTTTTTTCTTACACAAATCATCTTTGAGGCTTGCCTCCAAGCTTGCCCCGGGAAAGCGAGCAAGTATTTCCTAGTGATACAAGTGCTTGGTTCAATGGGGGTCTGGTCTGCAAGAAATGTTTCTTTGAGCATACTTGGGTGTACTCAGTATTCAGTACTTGTCACTTCGACAGAGGTTGCAAAACCCAGCAACTCCTTCATGGAGATCAATGCCCCGCGTCCCCAGTGCCAAGCAATAAGTAAGATTCACAGAGCCATCCAAACAGGACTGCCCAGAAATTTGGCGCGTGCCAGCGTGGGAAAAGTTCTGCGGCGCAGGCGTCTCAAGTGGTGATCCATGCAAACTCGCAGCTCAAAGCGAATCCCAAGTCACAATGAGCAAAAGAGGGAAGTCAGCTATGCTACTTCAACACAACCATTCAGATGCCATTGGTATCACCATTTCTCAAACGCCGCTTTGCGGAGCACGCCAACTCGTAACTTTGACATCTCTCACTCGTATTCGCTCCTGGCACAGGTCGAGTAACGGCTTCATCTTGCAACAAGTGAGCACAAGCACATCCTGAAATCATTTTTCCCTACTTCTTCAATTGTTCTGAAATGTGACCCAGCAATTGGCAATTGGTAGGTGTAGGCATTACTTTGTTGGTTTATCTTCAAAGCAGGGTTGATGAGATCTTGGGGTGCCTCTCGAAACTTGCCACACCTCCAAATGCGGAGGCTTCGCTATGTGGCTTCCCGTAGAGGGCAAGCCCCATGCCGAGCCTTTTGGGCTCCTGTTCAGCGTGCAAAACGGGGTGCCAACCACGCTTTCAAGACAGACCGACTTGGCTTTGAGATTTAAAGGTTGGAACAGCCTTCAGAATGGTTGGGAAAGAATATGAATCCAACCATGTATTTCTGACGTTCACCAAACGTCCCGCTTCCACTCAACATCGATACCCACCATGCTAGTTCATCTCTTCTGTTCCCTTTGAACCACGTTGACTTCCTGTTCTTTGCCCCTTTCACCCCATCAAAAGTGGAACAAAGACAATCACAATGAAAAAGCAAATATTTGCCCCTTTAGCCCCCTCAAAATCGGAACACGCCAAATGACAAAGGCAAACAACCGGTTTCTTCCGCTCCAGCCGAAAACGGCCGCAAACGGCCGCAAACGGCCCACGACGCCCCTCCCCCCAGGAAGCGCCACTCCTAGGGCTCCGTCTCGGGCGCCATGGGTGCTGCCTCCATGGGCGGCGACGGGGCCTGCGGGTTGGAGATGAAGGCCTTGGGCGTGCCCTGAGCGAATGCAGCGGGGGGCGGGGGGTTTGGGGGGGTGGGGTTTGGGTGGGGGGGTTTGGGGGTGGGGTTTGGGGGTGGGGTTTGGGGGGGGGGGGGGGTTTGGGGGCGGGGTGAGGGTGGGGGGGGTGGGGGTGGGGTCGACCGGCGGGGGCATGGAACCCAACCAAGCTTCCTTTGGAGGAAAGCGCCCCAGGTTCCATGTTAGTGGATGGGAGGGTAGGCGAAAGTCAGAAACCGATTGATGGATTGCCACTCAGGTGACCTTGATAATGGAATCGTGGGGCCATTTTGGGGTGGAGGTAGACTTAACCCCAGTGGTTGACTTCCCCAAGATCGGAATTCCCGATTTTGAACCCTGGGGAGTAGGGTGGGGGCAATTGGTGTTTTGGATTGGTGTATTGGATTGGTGGCTTGGATTGGTGGTTTGGATTGGTGGTTTGGCTTGGTGGCTTGGATTGGTTTGGTGCTTGGTGGTGTCCAATTTACCCCCTACAAAAGCCAGGGGTTTAGTTCCCACCGCCAATCCAAACCAACCAAGGGTTGCCCAAAAACACCAATAGGTGAGATACAAACACAAATGGGTTAGGATCATCCCCATACGTATTGCTTAGGGGGCGGGGGGTATGGACGAATGGACCACGCGAAGCGAGCATGGTGTTGCTACAGTGCGCGCGCGCGCGAATGCGAAAGCGCGCCTTCATTGAAAGCGCCTCTTTGCCGGTGGCGCGTCTCCACTATGCGGATTTCAAGCATTCCCATGGCACACAGCAACAAAAACAACGGGTCTCGTCTTATTGTTTCAAAGCTCTTCAGGGAAGCCCCTAGGAACTGGACGGGTGAGGTCCCCGTCCCAAAAATGGGGCGGAAAATGCGTTCTCAGCTGCAGACGAGCTGGGAAGATTCTTCGGGAGAAACGGGGAAAGTGGACCGCAACAGAAAAGGGGAAAAAGGGATTGGAACAGGGGAAAAGGGAAAAGGGAGAAGAGGAAGAAGGGGACAACAAGAAGCACATGCGAGAATAAGAAAAACAAATAAGAACGAAAGTATGGGAAACGGGGCCTGGCTGATCTCCGCCTTGTCCGCCGCTGTCACCTCGATGCCTCAGTCGCGGCCAGGTAGAACAAGGATTGAAACCCTTCTTCTGGTAGACCATTTTGAATGGGGGAACCCATTCAAACAAGAAGGGAGACCAGGGGCGCTACAAAGCCAGAGTGGATCTGCTTTCTGCCGCCTTCTTGTTTTACCTCTCGGTGGGCAGCCCTCACCTGGTCAACATCCACTTAGGTGGTTCATCCACATGTCTCGCCACTGGCGCCCAGACTTCGGTCCAGGCGCTATAGGCCTTGGTGGGGGAGTGCTTCACGGTATCGATGCCGGACTCCTGGTCCTCATCCGAGACCCGCAAGAGGCCTGGCGACTCGGCGAAGAAACCACACCGAAATGGCTCCGAAAAGTTGGTCAAGCTCAGCATGGGAAGGGAGTCATGTATTTTTGCCTAAGCACCCGCGCAACGAATTCATATGTTGGAACCTGAAGAGGGAAGGTCTGCGTTTTCGCTGGGTGGCACAAGAAGCTGCTCCCTCCAAAGAAGGAAATCAAGGGGTCACGGTTTTTGACTTGCGGAGCTTCGTCTTGGCATTCCAACCAGATGGCCACCCGTCGCCTTTTCGGATGTGCCTCACCTTTTAGGGGCCACCTGCGAGCAGAAGGCTCGCAAATAGCATCGGAAAGCCTGATAGGTCCAAATGATCCAGCCAGTTGGGGTACCCTTTAATGGATCCTGATTACGACAGGAACGCGCGAGTGGGGAGGAGGGGAAGTCCCTTGCTTCACTACACACCACCAAGCCCTCGAGGCAAAAGGGGGGGGGGTGTAAAAGCGATTCCTCACGCCAGGATGACCTGGGCACTGACATTTTGCGCTTCAGACTGGCAAGCGTGTCCCAAATCTGCAAACAGCACCCTTTGGGAAGTGCCATCGAAAGCATCAGCAATACGCAAACCCTGGAGACTGAGTCTGTCTTGGGGCTCAACTGCGACTTGACCCACCCAAAAAGAATTCCGATTCTTTGTCTAGCGGGGCAGCTGCTTGAAGTTTTCGGAGAAGTACAGGTTCGCATTGTTCTACGCTTGATTTTCTACAAACACACACACACACACACCAAGACTGGTGGCAAGCCACTGGGTGACATGGGATTGCGGACTTGGCTATGGATACTTTGAATCGCTCCTGGACCAGGTTTAGATTTGATAGCCTATTTGACATCAGAGTCACAACAAAAATGTGGCCACTCAAAGGAGCACAAAGAAACACATGTTCAATACCTCTGGCGCGCCCTGAAACTAGCTCAAAATCGGTGCCCTCAAAGCCCCTCTGCGTGGCGTAAGCTGCTTCTCTGTCGTAAGCTGCTTCTCTGTCGTGAACGTACCCTTGTTTGTTTTTTCCCGATGGAACGAAGGACCAACATGATTTGCCCCCCCCCCCCTTGGAGCTTTTTCGGTGACGTAAAACTGATCCTTTCAAGGGCACACATCCAACGGTATCCCGCTGGGTCCGAGGCTGTAGAAACCATCCCAACGAGTGGCTTTCTTCTGGAAGTTTCCCTTTATTTTGGTGGAAAAAAAAACATGTTTCAAAAAGTATCTTTTAAGAAGCCCTGCTACTTGACGTGCGTACCACCCAAAAATGGGGTAAGCTAAGAACTGGGGACTGGGTAAGAGCGGGGTCCTCATTGGTGCATGAGTTGACGAGGGATTTTGGGTCACCGGATTTCTCATAAGGTCGCAAGTTGCGAGAACAATTGCTCACGTTGCCGGCATGGGATCCCTAATCCATCCCCCCAAACTTTTCAGGTGGTTGGCACCACAAAACAACACGGGGGTCTCCACCCCGGCGTAGTCCATCTGGCATGCATGTTGGAACCCAAGCATTTGCCCTGTTCGGATCTTGAATCACTCACCTCCAAATCTTCCCCTCCAACTGTGAAACATGGATCCCCATTGTTGGCAAAAACAATCCGAGCACTTCCCGAGTCCATGATTGGCCAAAGCAAGCACAAACGAGGACGTCACCCAACTTCCCGCTCTCCAAATACCATCTTCAAAGAAAAGAAACACCCAACCATCACTTCCCATTGAACCGTTGTCCAAACTCCACTTGTTTCCTTCAACAACAAAAAACTCAGGTGATATCCCCAACAGCATGTGGTGCTCTTTTTGGTGCTTGCACCACCCCGCAGCCCTCGCAGAACCTCGTGAAAGCTTCGGGGAACCCTGTTAAAAACCCTGGTGGAACCCTCGTGGAACCTTAACTCAGGGCCGCCCCGGACCACCCCGGAGCCTATCTGGGCTGAGACCCCAAAGCTTTCAGCTGTTGGGGGGAAAAACATATCAAGTGATTTCTTCAAGTACTAAAATACCATGTTATATTATATTATATATATATATATTAAAAACACATGTATTCTTTCCTTCTTTAAAAGAAAAATGGCTCGCCCATTTCCGTCCATGGCGATTCTTCTCAGGCCCCCACCGGCCAAGCGCAGCGGCAACATGATCGCCGTGGTCCTAGGGCTCGGGCTCGAGAAACGAGACAAGTCGCTGGGCCCCCGTGGCCGAAAATGAAAACACCCGCAAAAAGACGGGCCATACGGCGGAGGGTGGCCTTTTTTTCCGTTCGCGCCAGATTGAAACCATGGTTGAAACGAGAGTTTGTTGGGTTCTTAGCAGGATTTCGTCCATCCACGGTATGTGTTGTTGTGTGATATACCTTTATTCCCCAAACAGCGAAGCATCGGGGTTCTAACTTGAGGTATAGAGATGGGAAAGTGTGACGCCGGTTCCGGGATCCTGTTTTCCGCTTGTCTTCGTGTCTCCCAGTCTCTCCGGTCATATGCCAAATGCTGTGACGCTGGCTCCAGGGTCGTGTCTCCCGCTTGTGCCAGATGCTGTGACGCCGGGTGTCTCCCGCTTCTCTCCCTGTGTCTCCCAGTCTCTGCGGTCAGATGCCAGATGCTGTGACGCTGGCTCTGGGGTCGTGTCTCCCGCTTGTCTTTCTCCCAGTCTCTGCCGTCTGGGGGCGTGTCTCCCGCTTGTCTCCCTGTGTGCCAGTCTCCCCGGTCAGATGCCAGATGCTGTGACGCTGGCTCCGGGGTCGTGTCTTCCGCTTGTCTCCCTGTGTCTCGCAGTCTCTGCGGTCAGAATGCTGCGACGCTTGCTCCGGGGTGGTGTCTCCCGCTTGTCTTTTTGTGTCTCCCAGTCTCTGCGGTCAGGTGTCTGTGTCAGATGCGGTCGTGTCTCCCTTGTCTCAGTTTCTGCGGTCGGATGCCAGATGGAGGCCGGATCACAGCATCTATCTGCCATCCGACCGCAGAGACTGGGAGACAAGCGCGAGACACGACCCGCCCACCGTGGAAAGCAGAGCGGCCAGTGCGCTTGCGTCCGCCTTGCCAGCGAGGGCTGCGTCGTGGTGACTGCGTCCAGGAGGGCGGCTGCTATCTTCAAGTCCATCCTCGGAAGTGTCCACGACTGACTGCAGGGCGTACGCAGTCAGGGCGCCTTGGAGTCCTGCAGGCCCGAAATGGAGGCTTCTCGGCTTGCGAGCTCGACAAGCGGGAGACACAAGTCACAGCATTTGGCATCCAGACACAGGGAGACAAGCGGGAGACACAACCCCGGAGCCAGCGTCACGGCTCCAGGGTCGCGTCTCCCGCTTGCCTCGGTCAGATTCTCCCGCTTGTCTCCCTGTGTCTCCCAGTCTCTGCGGTTAGGTGTGACGCTGGGTGCGGGGTCGTGTCTCTCGCCTCTCTCCCCCAATCTCTGCGTCTGGTCGTCAGATGCCAGATGCTGTGACGCCGTGGCGTTGTGGCTCCCGCTTGTCTCCCTGTGTCTCCCAGATTCAGCGGTCGGCTGCCAGATGCTGTGACGCCTGCTTCGGGGTTGTGTCTCCCCGCGCACGGATCCCAGACGCTCCCTCCGGACGCAGATGCTGTGACGCTGGGTTCGGCCCTGTGTCTCCCACTCTCTACGGTCAGATGCCAGATGCTGTGATGCTGGCTTCGGGGTGGTGTCTCCCGCTTGTGTTCCAGTCTCTGCGGTCGGATGCCAGATGCTGTGACGTCTTGTCGCTTGCTTTTTTCATTTGTGTCCTCCCAGTCACTGCGGTCAGCTGCCAGACGCTGTGACGCTGGCTCTGGGGTCGTGTCTCCCGCTTCTAGGGTCCCGGGCAAATCTGTTTCTTCTTTGCGGCTGTCCTTGCTTGCTGCCAGCTGGCTGTTTGTTTAATGCTCACAGCCCTTAACAGGGCCCCGGGCAAAACCAACTGAACCTGTTTCTTCTTACCCAGTTTTGAGGCTGGCCTGGCTTGCTTGGCATCTAGTAGCAGGGGTTCGCTCTGTCGAGCCTTAAATGTGTCCATTTTCTCGAAAAGCAAATATACTGTCACATCCGGATGATTGCTTTGCTCAGGATTCTGATAGGCTTTTTGGCAGCCAGCGCCGCACTTCTTGGTCGTTTGCATCCTAGTGGCGCATCAGCTGAGCCCTGTCGAGCCTTAAATGTGTCTATTGTTCTCGATAAACAAATATACATCCGCCTGATTGCTTTGCTCAGGATTCTGAGCTGCTTTTTGGAAGCCAGCGCCGCACTTCTTGGCCAAGCGCAAGTTTGCATCCTTGTGTGGCGCATCAGCAGAGCCCTGTCGAGCCTTAAATATGTACTTTTGTTCTGGATAAACAAATGCAGTGACATCCGCCTGATTGCTTTGCTCAGTGGAAGCACTTCTTGGTCAAGTGCAGGTTTGCATTCTTGTGGCGCATCAGCAGAGCCCTGTCGAGCCTAAGGACAACTTGGAAACAGTTCACGAACCCGGCCAGTTGATTACAGTGCTGCTGGAGCTGAGTGAACGCAAGGCCCAGAAGTTGTTGCCAGCGGCGTTCGTTGGAATGACGGCCGCCGGTCGTTCACCACACATGTGAACACCAATCTGCGAACCATAGCACCAACTCCAAGATGAACCCGGCCAAGCTGGTGGTGTCCACTGGCAGCCAGCATTGGTAAGTTGGGGCAAAGTTCTCACGCGTTTCCGAGATGGAGCAGGGCCGGGGCTGACGTTCAAAGCCAAGCTTGTTCCGGAATGGAGCAGCGTTGGGCGCATGGAGCAAAGCCATGCGTTGGCCATCTTGGGAGCATGCGGCGCGCTGGACACGACAGAGATGAAGGCCCTGGATGACCAAGCTACTGCCGGCTCAAACGCTAGGGATTTTCTGGAGCTGCGCCGGGTGACAGAGGTGCGCGCCAAACGGGCACCTTTGCTGACGCTTGCCAATTTGGCGCGGCGTGCGTCTGCGTTGCTAGGCGAGGATGTCCCGGCCGCAAGGCGCAGTCTGCAAGTTTATGCAAGCGCTCTCTTGCTTTGCTTGTGGCAAGACCTTTAGCCGAGCTCGAGAAGAAGATAGCAACCAGAAGTGGCGTGCGTCCAGTCTCGGCCGCAAGCTGCTGAGACTGATGCGCAAGTTTCAGCAGAGTAGCGAGACGGCCACCAAATGCTGCGGCGATGAAAAAGTGCATTGAGTGTCCGTACTACGAAAGTTCCTTCGAAACTTCCTTTGATTAATGCCAGATTCACCCGAATCCCCGGGGCGGGCCTTCACTCTCGAACATGGCATTGACATGGCATTTTCCCCATGAAGTCGATGAACAACATCGATGCTTTTACCCGGCATCAAGGAGATGGATGGACCCGATGTATCCTCTTCCCCAAAAAGGGGACTTCCTACAGGGACAGACATGGTGTTGCTCACAAATGTCGCACCTTACATGAAGGAGACAAGCCTTTTTTGGGTTATACAGACCTGTCATGTGTTTTTGCTGTTTGGGGTCGAGGCTGGTGTAATATATATATATATACATACACATGTGTTGTGTGTTCTTCTGGAGATGGTACCCCGATGAGGTTGCAAAAGGCAAGCCAAAAGGCAAACCATTTTGGGGGATCCCATTTTGATGGAGACATAGGGGTGCCCCACAGCCACGTTTGGTCCTGGGAACCTGTGCATTGGTCTGCGTCGCGTGCCCCGAGGTACCAACGTGGTGAACACCAAGGCGGCTGCACACATTTCTGGTTGGGACTGTCCCGTACTAACCTTCAACTCATTTGACCAGGGCTGTATTGAGTTCCTCACGAGGCTTTGAAGTTTTGAAGGCTTGCTGGACAACTATGAGAAAACTCACCTCTTAGGGCAAGACAGTTCTTCTTATTGGAGCTTTGTTGGAGTCTTGTCACATGAGTACCAACTTTCAACCATAAAAGTCACCCCCCCCCCCTTCTCGTCATTCTCCAACAAACCGTAGACTACCACGAAAGGGAGTGGGCGGGGAATGTTTTCCTCTCCCTAAGTCCCCTGTCAAGGGGTCCTTCACCAGCATGGGACAACCATGTGCCAGCCGACAGGTTTATCGCTACACGGCTTCTCCGCTTCAAGCTTTGGACCAACGTTTGGTGCGCAAAGGAATGAAGGCCTCATGGATTCCTCTCCGCGTTCGTGCGGAACACCTGCCCCCGCCCCCAAACCTCTTTGATAGGCCTGCTCCCCCAACGGGAGAGCAAAAGAAGAAGCAGTCGAGGACCAAAGCTTGCCCTCTTCTTGAACTTTGGGATTTTCTAGGTTAAAAAAAGGAGACCTGCCGCCCTAATGGAAACTGCCCACTTCTTTGCTGAAAGCACACGGCAAGAGCTATATCTTGACACCCCCGCATTCCCACGTGGCTATGTGTCAAAAAAGGGGTCCCCAAGATGGTGGTTTCCCTTCACAGGGTGAAAAAGGTGGCCTCGAAAACACACAATTGGACCATCCCCAACACAGGCCGAATCTAGATGGGAGCGTTTTTCGCTTTTGGTTGGTTCAAAGGGGAATCCAAATTCAAGAACACCCTTTCTGGGGAGGATTCCAACCTAAAAGACGCGCCCTGGCTCTCTTTGGGCCGCGCCAGAAAGCGGTCCAGAGCAGAATCATCACCACCTTCGAGTCTTCCGAGGAGAAAAAAAAAGCAAGCGACCCGACGGGTTGAACTCAGCCGGAAACCAAAGGTCAATTTACACTGAACCGAGAGATTTGTTGCTACGAACTCATGTTGCCATGTTCAGTTGCTTGAAGTTGCATGGCTTCACACAGCGATCCGATCTACGCTCGGACAGCGGCGTCCGTTGTCAATACCGCGTTCCCTATATTTCCCCTCCCAGCACCGGAAAAACTGGCCCTTCAAACTCTTGGTGTGGTTTACTTCCAGGGAATTCTCAGAACTGTTCCAGAGAGGCTGCCCAACTCTGGGCGAAGCGGTTCCGGAGAGGCCTCCAGAAGGTTTGCCGCGAGGGCGTCTCCGTTGGCGCCGGACACGCAGCTCCCGTCCTTGCGAGGTCGACATTGACTCCAAACTTCATGTGAGGTGTCTTGTAACAGGGGGCACTGGTAAATGCTTTGAACAAATTCAAACCAAAGCCCAAAGAAGCACAAACATCCGCCTGCCAAAGACAAGTAGCACGTGTGTCAACATGTCTGGACTGTTGCCATGCTGGTTTAAGCAACCGAATGACAGAGAATCCACTCGGCAGCGCAGTGTTCCAACTGCACCCGAAAACACCACCGAGGGAAATGGTACGTATCCTACCCTCCCTAAAAACTCTCCTAAAGAAAGCCATATGCTCCCTTGCTAAACGCACATGACAGCTTTATCAGCACCCCGTGTATGACTTTTAGGGTACATTCATTTGAGGTAGGCCCGCACGGCGCAGTCTTAGCAATGCTTGATTTCCCGCTCAAATCGGCCTTCCCTCAATTGCATTGAGGGGCGGTCCATGCTCTTTAGATCTATAAAAACTAGGGATTCAATCCTCCAGAGCCTGGAAATTAGGACATGGGACCGTTTAGAACACTCGCCAATACCGATCAAGTACAGAGATATCTACATGATCTATGATGTATAGATACCATAGACTACTGTACAACTGTCCCGACCCTGAGCCTAAGATGTAAAAAAAAAAACGGGAATGGTTCAACAGGCATTTTTGTTCATCGGATACACGGCTTTTCGGCTTCCCGACCATCTTGGGTTTGGCGCGGAAGCTTCGGGATTCTCCCCAGAGAGGTGCCGGCTTCCAGCGAGGCGGGAACTTTGGGTGTTTCTTGCCAGCTGAACCAAACTGGAAGCCGCGATCCCTCAGGTGTTTGAGGTGTCTAGTTGGTTTAGTGGTTGGGTTTCCATTCAACCCACTAAAAGTTAGTCACTTTTGGCAGCAGATCTGAGGATTCCAGTGTTGCTTGCCACTAAACCAACCACTAAACCAACTGAAAACCTAAAAACCTGAGGGAACGCGGCTTCCAGTTTGGTTAAACTGGCAAGCAACACAGGAATCCTCAGATCCCCTGCTAAAAGTGACTAACTTTTAGTGGGTTGAATGGAAACCCAACCACTAAACCAACTAAACACCTACAAACCTGAGGGAACGCGGCTTCCAGTCTGGTTAAACTGGCAAGAAATACAGGAACCACCCGATGTCAAAGCAACGGTGGAAAAGGGCGAGCACCTGTCGAAAGTTTAACTCATTTTCCCAGGAGAGGGTAAAGGATCCAGCCCAAATTCCAGCCAAGAGCCTGGGGGGTGTTGCTCATTTTTTCTCTCGGGAGTTTCCCCAAGAAGTGATCCGGATGGAGCAAACAAAGATGCCCGGCCTGTGCCTAGAGTCTCCATGACCCTTTAAAAATCGGCTCATGGCCGTTTTCTTTTGGGTAATGACCCCATTTCTTAAGGGTCATGGAGACTCTAGGTGGTTCTTTTCTCCCATGTGCCCAAGAAAGGGCTCCGAGTTCAAACAAAAAACAAAACCGACTTCGATGCCCGTCCTCCCCTGCCACGCACCCGAAGCCGCTCCAGCCGTGATGGAAGTCCTGGGGCGTGTTCCCGCTTTGCGAAAAGCATTCTATGCGTGTGTGTGTGTATATATACATATGTATGTATATATAGCTGCATGCATGTACATATTACTATGGTTACAGATGTTTGAACATAAAAACATGTACATATGGTTTCATGTATGATACTTCCGACATCCAGGACACTGTGTGTGTGTGTGCATGTGCCACCCTCTTCTTGTGGCATTAGCTCCGGTTGGTGGGCAGTCAGGGCCCAAAAAGTATATTGGGAGATCTTTCGGGAATGGGCATAAGCCTCTGCTCTGTTCGGAAGCCCTGAAGACCTGTGAAGCATACGTGAACCCTATGGCCGGGTTGGTTCGGAAGGTTACAGGTTAAGTTCTCCCGCGGGTTGACCGGAAAACAAGACACCCAGAGACACGGGTCAAGAATTATCGAGAACACCCGGGGCATTGAGGAAATTACGGCCCCCAACAAGGTGTTTTTTTGGAGGTTACCCTTTTTCCTCGGTGGAATTGGACACCGAGACAAAAACCTCACATTTGGTGGGGTCCCCAATTTTTGACATACAGGACTCCAGGAAGCTTGTTCCATTTCTGCCGGTGCTTCCTGAGCTCTTGCGAACCAATGCTTGATTCTGATCAATGCGTGGTCAGTGGTCAACATTGGGTGACCCTGAAAAAAGGTCCGGTTATTCAACTTTGGCTTCTCCCAAGCCAACCCCAACAAGGGCACCTCAACAAATTATAGCTCCAACCTTGAATGAGCCCCGAAAGAGAAGTCTAAAACCGCCAAAAAAAGGGGAAAAAGACGAACCCGGTTTGATGAGGAGTTCAAGGGAAACCCATTGCCATTCTTGGAGGCCCGATTCCTATTGAGGAATGGGACCCTAAAATGGCGGTAGGCCCCCTTTTGTTTCCCTTGAAAACCGCCAAAACAGGCCACCTCCCAAGAAGACAGCCCCACATATCAGCTTCCCTCTACTTGAAGGCCTAAAATGGCGGTAGGCCTCTGGTTTCGCTTCCCTCTACTTGAATCGTTTTGGGTTGGCAGTTTGGAGCTCAGCAAAGTGCAAAAAAGCACAGCTTTTTGCAGGGGCTGGTTCAAAATGCTTCAATTTCTGTGTGGAGACCCCCAAAAATGGCGGTTTCCTTTAAACAAAGACGAGCCACCCATTTTGAGAAACTCGGAAGTATTGCTTTTTGAGGTTGGTTTTGGTGGTGCTCAGGGAATGAGAAATGAAATAACAAAACTAGCCCCGGTGTGGTGTCCTTTCTTCGGGAATCCCCAAAACCGGTTCATTCCAACTCATGTCCTGCCTATCACACCAGCAAGCAACACAAGTGTCCTTGTTCGACCAATTTGCACGCTTTCTTCTACATTGTACATCGACCACTTGGCTGTGGCTCAAACACATGTACCCAAAATGGCTCCTTTGTATATGGAAAAAAGACCAAACCTGCGGTTTCCCAGACCAAACCTGCGGTTTGCCCGTTGAATTTTGAGCCACACCCAATTTTCAGCTTCCTTCCGATTGGTGGTTTGGATTGGTGGTTTGGTGGTCAAGACAAGACCTAAACCAGTGGAACCCATCTGCTGTTAGCCAAACTCACCTAAAAAGGACACCTATGCTGCCCCCAAGCCACCAACTAGAATTGCCTGACCAACAGGCAGAAAGACATAAACTACAAAAAAGACGACCTTAGTTGCTTTTCAGAAAGAGGAAACCTGGGCAACCTGCCCCAATCATGGGCAACCTGACAACCATAGGTGGCCTTTTGGGAAAATAGATGGCTTTGGCAAATGGGACCAGTGGAACCCATCTATTTTTAGCCAAACTCACCCAAGAAGGACACCTATGCTGACAAAACAGGAAACCTGGGCCACCTGCCCCCCCCCAAAAAAAAAAAACAAAAACAAACGACCAAACCACCAGTGGATGGGCAACCTGACAACTCGCAGACGTCGCACTTCGAAGCCCCGAGGCGCCATGTCTTTGCCCCAGTCGAAGAGGGCCGCCGCCAGCACGCCCCAGGCGCCCGCGGCGCCGTGCACCGCGAAGGCGTCGATGGGGTCGTCCACCTGAAGTCTTCAACAGAAACCTAAACAAGCAAAACAAACAAACATTTTTATATTGTGCTTGTTTTTCCTCTTCTTTTTTAAGAAGGTAATTACAGGTATCAACTGGAACTCGAATTCTTGAGCTTCCCCCCACAAAGGAGGCTTGGATTGGCCAAAGGATAGTACGCGGTTCACTTCTCCTCTACAAGGACCAGGGGTTCAAATCCCGAACCATCAATCCAAGGCGAAAAAAGACGACTAAACTCCTTGGAAGATGGAAGAGACATCAGAATAAGGAAGATAATGCAAATTGACTAGATAATTACAATCCTTCTTATCCGATGATCACGAGGTAATCTGGTGAAATGGTACCCTGCAAACCCAAGCTTCGATTTTCAGGGCCTTATAGTAATTAGCTAACATGGAAGATGCAACAAACAAACAACAAAGGTGCCCGTGGAAGATACCCACGAGCAAATCACTCCGGCCAAGAAGCTTCGGAGTGGGACCTTCGGAAAGCTTTCCGAAGGTCAAGATCGATCGATCAAGGGAAACAAACAATGGCTGTGCTCAAAAAAAGGGGTACCTAAAATGGTCCCTTGGTAAATGGAAACAAGGACCAAAACCTGCGTAACCCTGACTCTTTGATTTTGAGCCACACCCAAATGCTGGAGGAAAGAAAACTCGCTGGTTTCAGCAATGAGTTGGAATGAACCCCATTAACCATCCAACTGGTGGTTTCCTTAAAGGGAATCCCCTTCCGGTTCATTCCCATCACCCTGACTCGGTCATTCCCTGCTGAGCACCAAGGAACCCAACAGAAATCTTCTTAGGCCATTCTTTGCCCCCATACATGCAGGTTGTCCCACTTGGTAATTCCTTTGACCATTCAGGAAATGAAACACTCCCCCCCCCCCAAGACTCCCCCCAAAAAAGTTAAGGGTGGTTTAAGGATATCCCTTGTGGCAAGGACAGTTGAGCTTATTTAGGCTTAATTAGGCTTAATTAGGCTTAATTAGGTTTAATTAGGCCTAATTAGGCTTAATTAGGCTTAGTTGGCTAAAACCGCATTTTGCTAATTAGGATTAATTAAGCCTAGTTAAGCCAAGTCTAAGCTCAACTGAGCCTTGCCAAGCCCACCCAACACCAGCCCTGTCAGTTGATCGCCGTCTGCGTTTCTCCCGGCTCATGTTTGTGAAATCAGTCCAGACGGTGAAATGTGACTCTGTGACATACTGGGAATGGTCAGCGTAAGTGCGTCACAATGAACCCCCCCCCCCCCCCCAACAACTTTAAGACGGTTTGAGTCGTGCTTGGCTTAAAATGCCCTTATCATTTTGGGGGGGGGACCCCGAAATGCTGCAAATAGCGTGATTTGGGGGTCCCCCCCCAAAAATTATAATTTGCCCCCCTGCCCTTCCCCCTGCGTTCCCCTTCGCTCCCCCCCCCCCCCACCCCCGCCCGCAAAACTCGCCGGGCTTCACAGTACATTACTCCAGCCAAACAGGATTCTGGCAAATCTGTGGGCCAAGTCAGTCACAAATAGATCCGTCGAGGTGAAACGTCGTCATCTCCAGATATCCATGAAAGAGCTCAAGCCCGGTTCTTGTCCCCGGTGATCCCGTTTACCACAGTGTTTTCCCGTATCCAGGGAACCTTACCAAAATTACAAAATGATCCAGTCTACCAACCATCCCTTTTGCCGCTATCAGTTTCCCCCAATGTTCCAGTGATCTCCCCGTCGGGTTTATTTACCACATTTCCGCCATGCTCTGATCACATTTGGCGTTGTCTTGTTCTGAGGGTACCCCCTCTTTTGGCGATTTGAAAGGGAAATGAACCGGAAAAGCGAAGGCTGCGCCAATTTGGGGTCCAACCTTAAACAACGTCGAGCCACCCATTGATTTCAGCGTGCGGCCACCACGACATGACTGAGACTTTTTTGCCACCGTGACATAACTCAGACTTTTTCACCTCGGATACCCCGTTCGGAAGCGAAAGTGCGCAGTGTTTAGGCCAGAGGAAAATGGTCCAAACCAGGACACCCCGAATGTCAGGTTCCATGTTGATTGGTGGGAGGGTAATATTAACTGTTTGCAGTGGCAGGCAAAAAGAGTATGCAAAACCACGCCAACGAACCAGGTCGTGGACAGCTTTTGCTCCAGGTTTTCTTGTTGATTCTCCTGGTAGCATAAGCTTCTCTCAAGGGAGCACGCTTGGCGTTTGGGTTCCTTTTGGTTTACCTTTAAAACCAAAAGGGATCACACCCATTGCGTTTCTAAGGGAGGCCTCCAGGTAGGATGTCCTTTTGGATTCCTTTCAAAACCATCCAAAAATGAGGGTTCCCCTCTGGAGACACACCCATGTGCACATGTGCGCCTGTGGTGCCTGCTCCAGTCGATCGATGCACATGTTGCGGACCCTCATTTTGAACCCGAGCCGCCCCTTTTTGGGCGGGACACTGCTACAGGCTGATCCAAATTCTTTCCCATCGTTCTTTTGGGGCACCAAAATTCGAAGGATCCTGATGGGCGGGCACAACCGGAACAGCCGCAGGTCCAGGAAAACGGGACGAAAGCCCAAGAACTCCCACGGCCCAAGTATGCCATGGGCTGGTGATTCGAAGGGATTGGGGCCCTTCGAATGGCGTTGAAGTTCTTTCTTTGGGTTTCCCTTTCAAATCCAAGACAGGCCACCCGGAAAAACACAAACACAGAGACGCTCAAGACACACACACGACCGCCTTGAGCTTCTGGAGCAGCGAGGAGGCTCCTGCGTGGCCGGGAGCGTGGGACTCGGTGTCCATTCCAAGCGCCATCCGATCCAAAGCATCGAAGAGTTACCTGCGTGGTGGTTCTTATTCCCTTTGAATTTGCATGGACGTATGAAACCCTTCGACACCTTCTGGGAAGCTTCCGCGGCTGCAGCGCGGCGCCGCACTTTTTGTTGATATGTCAACATCTGTACATGCTTGCTTGAGCGGAAAAATAAACCGCCACTCACCTGATCATTCCCAGCAGGGGGCTTGCTTGCTTTCCAGGCTCAGGTGGGCCAGTCGGCAAAAGAATGCTCCCCCTCTCCACCTTTAAAGAAGAACCAAAAGAAGGCCCTCTGCCGAACGGAAAAGCTAGCTGTGGAAACGATGAACATGCCTTTTTCGGGGACTTGCAGGCCAGCCCCCATGTGGGTGTTTCACTCAATGAGTCATAATCAAAACCTGGTAGTAGAATGGTCGACCCCCAAATCCAGATACAGAACTGAAAAGTGCGGGGGCGCCCCATTTCTGGCTGGGATTGTCCCTTGCTATTTTCTAATTGCCCTGATTTGGATTTTGGCTCTCATGGTCTTTGAAAGAATGCGGAAGCTACCACGCATCAAAAGTCATGAGGCTTTCATGAGTTTCGCATTTTCACCACCGAAGGAATCTACTAGAAATGAATAAAAAGAGACCGGTGGGAACTTGCCGGGAACAGGCTTTGGCAATTTCTTGTTTAAACATGAGTCTTAACACCTACAAGCGAACCAAAGGAAACTAGAGGCCACCTGTGTCGGCAGCCCCCTCCTTCTTCTATAACATTGTGAGAGCCATGAGCCAAGTCCCTCCCAAACGCAGACTGGATATATCTTGGCCTTCCTGAACACTGCTCTGCTGAGCCAACACCCAAGCTGCAGTCTGTTTTCTTTCTGCAGTCTGTTTTCTTCATTTCGGATCTGGCCCTTGGCCATTGGGGAGGGTGCTCAAAAACTTGGACGTGCGAAGATTCCTTCAAGGTTCGGAAAGAACCCAAGGGAGTTCTGAATTGGCCTCTGATCGAAGCTTTCTGGACTAAACATCACACTGGTTCATGTAGACACCCTTTGAAGCTGGTAAAGCTTGCTATACCTTTTTTTATGGCATAATGAGGAGTCCCCCCGACAAAAACGGACGGGGGGGGGGAAAAGAAAAAACAACTCCTTGGAAGAATTGAGAGAGGGGCCGTTGAAAGGCGATGCTTACTGGCACCCTTTTAAGGGCAAACATGGCTGGCTCGTCTTTTTTGAGCTTGGACCACCACCAAAAAAGGGAGTACCTAAATAGACGAAAACCGGCGGTCCCCTCGTTTTATCTCTTAAATTGTGAGCCGCATATAGGGACCCCTATTTTTTGTGGCTTCTAGAGGGAAAAGGAAAACGCCACCATTTTGGGTGGTCCAATCTTAAGACAGGAACCTCACCCATGAACACACACACACACACCCGTCACCAAAAACAAGAACCTGAGAGAACAACAAGCCCCCCCCCCCCAAACCCCCGGCGCCCCTTCCCCCGTTGCTTTTGTCGCACGCGCGAAAACGGTCTCGGTCGCAGTCTCCTTGGTAGACGCAGGCTCCGAGGATGGCGATGCCAAAGGCGCTGCCGCACTCCACGTTCCCGCAGGGGGCGGTGATGGAGACCAGGCCTCAGCACTCCAGCTGGCCGACCTTACGAAACCGCGCCTTTGCCCTGGGGGGGGTTTTGGGCCCATTGCTGCCAAAGGGCCCCAATGTAGCTCGATTCAACCATGAGAAGCCCTGTCTTGAGAACCTCTCCACCCGGTCTCTCTCTGGCTCTCCCGACTCGCCTGCGAGGATGCCGTTGCAGAACCCACCGATGTCGTACTTCCTGCAACAAACAACATGCCACTGGTGGATCATTGTATATGATTAATTATATGCTGTGTTGTGTTCCGGTTTGAGGTTGATTCACAAGGAAGCCAAGAGAGGCTTTGTCTCATGGCATGTAGTCTCGGAGATCCTAGGGAACAGGTGCAAAGCCCCAAGCCACCAATTCAAACCATCAACTTGGGATGACCACAAAGGCAAAACAATGAACACACAATTAGTCGGTATATCCCCACAGCTCACGCAAGCCCCGCCCTCTCAGATCAGTGTCCCGAGAAAGAACGCCTTACTCTCTTGAATAAGTCCCAGTTGTGCTGTGACCGCCTTATCAACCACCCACTGGTGGATGCGTCTTAACGACCCTCTGGGGAGCCAATGTTATGGAAACACGAGGATGAAACGAGTTGTCACGCCTTCCTTCCAACTGATGGGTTATGGGTCCAACCTCAGTACTTGACATTACACCTTGTGTTGCCCCTAATGGCTCCAGTATATTTATATACATGACATCTATACTGCCAGATTCAAGGAGATTGGGTACAACCTCACCCCTGACACATACAGGCACTGCTATCATGTTTGTGCATTCCTCAAATGCTTCCCCACAACCTGTACTTGCATTTGTACGTATACAGTTATACAGATTCAGATGTGTAGATGAAGACAAGTGTGCATATTCGTATTTCTCAATGACCTATATTGCTGGCATGTAACCAGGAGACTTTCCCTGAGAATCAGAAAGAACTAGGGCCTAGGAAACACACCCTCAACCGGGTACACAAGATCGCCCCTCAGGCCGAACAGCGATCGCGCCGAAGCCTGGGGTTGCCTATCTCCTCATACAGACCCGGAAAATAGACGTATTGAATGCTAATGTCAGCAAAACGTGTATATGTATATACATCCACATATATATATATATATGTATGTATGTACATACTTATGTATGTATGTATGTATATAACAGGGTGCACTTTACCGCAGGGGCACGTGGTTGAGCTCTTAGATGTCCTGTTGCTGCTGTGTTTTCACGCCTGGGTATGCAAGCAACATCTCTATTGAGGCCTGGCTCCGAAACTCAAACAAGACGACACAAAACACACACACACACATGCCAAGAAACCAACATTAGTGGTCAGATTTATCATCTCTGAGACGCCACGGGTACACATAAATCTGAACACCATGAAGAGGAACCAAATTAAAGGTCAGCCGAATTCCAAGGCTCGAATCACGATCTTTTGTTTTCAGGGGTCCTGCAAATCCCAGGTCACATTTCTTTGAGTCCGCCCGAAGAAGACCTCAAAAGAGGAATCAGCTCAAGGTCCCCATTCGGTGCCCTATTGGTTGGTGGCCCAGACTTTGGGGCTTCCGTTTTGCCTCAACTTCTGTTGTCTTGTCAAGTCAAAAAAAAAACGGAGCTTCAAAGAAACGCACCTGTTTTTTTCACCTTAAACAGGGTGACTCCCAAAAAAAATGGCAGCTGTCAACAACAGGGAGCCCCAGCTCTGGGCAGCTCTCCTTTTTGTTTCAAAACCAACCCTAGGGAACCAAGGCTCGCCGGGCTGTCCTCAGATCGGTGAGAAGTCAGTCAGACTTTTTGCAGGTTCACCGGAAACCAACCTAAAAACCTCCGGAGCTGCACGGCTGTTTTTTTTGAAAGCGCCACCAAGCCCGGTGTTGTTGTTGCTTCTTTTTGTGAACTTGAAAAGCCTTAGTCACTAACACCTGAAAGCCTGAAGCCCTCAGGAACCGGATGGGAAAGCGCCGGTCGCCCGCCTGGTCATCGCCAGGCGCAGGATGAAGACAACGAGGCCCCCGGTGGCCGCTGCGATGGTGGTGTTCATTGCCACCTGCGCCGCCATGAAGCCTCCGCCGAAAGCCGCGAGGGGAAAATAAAAACGAGGAAAAAAAAATAAGAAAAAAAAAGAACAGAACGGTTGTCTCCGTGTTTTTCGTTGTTTTTACCCCCCTGTTTTCAGCACCAGAAACAAGGGCAACCCTAGTTTCGTATGGTTTTCACAAACAACGGGGAATCTGCAACACGACGCAGAAGTCCAAACAGCCAATCCAAAAGGCCTAAGGTCATGTTGAGGGTTGGACCCTTTTTGGAGAACCCAACTTTTTGACGTCTGGTTCGCTTCCCATCGAAAACGGGGAGCACCAGGGTGCCACGGAACCTCGGATCAACATAGGGGGAGCGAACATGGGATGTTTCTCGCATGGGGTTGGGTTACAGGAAAATCTACTGGAAATGGCCCCAAAACACCCTAAATCAGCTGTTTTCCTGTAGAATTTCAAGTAACCCAACCCTTTGATTCTCATTCTCTTGGTTTCCACTTCACGACCATGTCTTTGTAGACGCTGGTAGCTTCTTAGCTCCCTTGGGAGCAAATTTGGATAGCCCCTAGCTACTTGGCTCCCTTCCGACCAACAGCTAGTTAAAGCGACGCAAATCTGGGTCCAGTTCGAGAAACTACAGGGGTGGAGGGGAGGTTGGTGCTTGGGCCCAAATGACCCGACCGAAAGTGGAGGTTGCATGTCGCGAAAGAGAGAAACATCTTCAAGAAACAAGTTCACGGACAAAGGTAGCAACACAAAAATGTATATTATATCTACGTGTATATGATCTTGGTTGTTGACTCCTCTGCAAAAAGCGTTCAACTTCTTGTGGGTCCAATGGTGAAAGCCCAACGATTTCAACCTACAAGTTAAAATCCAAAAATCAAACACCAATAGCAATCAAGTCGTGTGCCCCTTTGTTGGTGGTTTCAAAGGAGAACACCGAGTCCAAGTGTTGGGAATGAAGCGTTTGAGGATTCCCGAAGAAACCATAGGGGATGGGTTTTTCTTGGGGTCCTTCCAGTTCTCATTCCCTGCCTATCCAACCAGCAAGACAACGGACATGAAACGACAGAAATGAAGAGTCTGTTGTTTTGGGGAGGGTGTGGCCGTCCATCAATTGCTCAGCTCAAATCTCGATAAATCAACCAAGGGTGTATTCCTGGGTTCTCATTAGGCTCTTGAGCAATCTCGAGGCTGCCAGCTGCCTCTCCTCCGGACCACATGTTCAAATCAACTTAACATGGAGATTCCCCCCGAGGTTTGGGGTTGGGATTCCCCAAACACCAGCAAAGGCTCTAACAGACCTCACATGCCCTGCAACCATCCAGTCTTTGATTCAACAAATCCAATGAACAATGCCGGGTGAAATTGAAAGAGAAACTTAACGACTCACAACTGTGTTATATTATGGGGAATCTCCAATCTGCAATCCACAAGCCGTAACAACACTACACGGGAAACCACTACCAGCTGACTGACCATCTGGCATGAAAAACAGTTTGATTTTGACCAACCCGAAACTCCAAAATGATGTTCCCATTGGTTTCCCGTTAAACCAACCCCAAACAGAGTGCCAACTCCTAATAACGCACACCCAACTCCAAAAGCATCAGGATGTGTCGCTTTGGGTCGTGTCCCTTTAGCGGCCGAAATCAGCCCACTAAAGACAACAAACAAGACCGCACTCCCCCTAAAAAACAAAACCAAACAAACAAACAAACAAACAAACAAACAAACCAAACAAACAAAACAAACAGACAGACAAACAGACAAACAAACAAAAAACAACAAACAAACACACGCGCGCGCACACACACACACACACACACCCGCGCGCGTGCCAAACACGCAGCCCCACATGCTGAAGATTCAAATCGACGAAAACCGGCGGTATGTTTGGGGGCAATTGGTGCTTGTGGGGCGGAGAAGCAGACTCATGATGTTTGAAGCCAGTTTCTTTGGGTGATCCTTCTTTTGGGTTCGTTTTTGCAAGCGATCGCAAAGGGCGTGGAACTTGGGCCCCTGTATAATGCCACCTTCCAAACAGAAAAAAACGAAAGGGCAGGGGAAAATACACATTCCACCCTACAGCATGTGCCGAAGACGCGTCTTCGATTCTCCTAGGTTCTGGGTCATAAAGAAATGTGAACCTCTGTTTTCCATTGAGACAAAAGCTTCCCCCAAAGACCTCCTCCCCAAGCCTGAGCTGATGGAGTTCATGCCCAAGGTGGACCCGCAGTTGAACCCATACCTCGGGTTCAGCTCGGAGCGGGGAGATCTGGTTTGCCGTGTCCGTCTCCTTGAGGCTCGGTACAAACTTTTGGAAGATTAAAAAAACAGACATTCGGAGGCTTTCCTTTTGAGCCCATTGTTAGAGCTCCCCGGTCGAAAACAAACCCCAAACAGTTGGCGCCTTGCTTGCGAGCCGAAGAATTCGAGCCCTGCTTCGACAACAGGGCTTCTCACGTGCGAGCGGGTTTTCGGAGGGTTGGTTTCTCTTCATAGCCCGTTTTCATTGAAACCATGGAGAAAAGGACCAGAAGCCGAACCCAAAAAGGCACAGGTGTGGAAAAAAAAGGGGGCTCCACACTGGGCTGTTCTTTGCATGCACTGTGAAAACCCCTCTATTTTCCCCCGCTTCTTGGGCTCAATGTTAACTTGGAGGGAAGCAAACTTCGCCGGGGAAGTCCTCATTGGTCGAAACCGTCAAACGTCTTGGGTCAAACCAAGAGCAAAATGCAGATGCGCGTACTGCACCAGGCGGGACTTGCGGACAGGGAAACGGGAAACACACACATGCCAAGAGCAGAACACGCTACGGGTCAAACCAACTAGAGCAAACAAACAGGGAGGGGTCCGGATCGTTTGCCACTCGAAGCAAAATGCCTTCCCGGAGCTCTCTCCCTCCACTGCTTGAATGGCGCGCTTGCTTTTCTGGTTTTGACCCCCATGCACAGAACCGAACTTCGTGACCCCAAAAGTCCCGTGCTTTGGATGGCGCTGGAAGCCGGCCACGAGGGCCGGAAAAGGAGCAGTAGAGACGTGGACAACGCCCGCTTAAGCCAGGGAAGATGCCCCGAAGGGATAGGGATGGTTTGATTGCCAGGGGTCCTATGAGGTTTTGCTATTCAACGATGAACCTACACAGTGGGAATCCATTTAACCTCCAAGCAAGTTTCTAAGGGTCTAGCGTTGCTCCCCCTGCAAAGTAACATGGAACCTCCAAGGAAAATGGAGATTCTTCTGAAATCGGTTGTCTTGCCATGCTGATCCGCGGCACCAGAAAGCCGGGTCTACCTTCCCTCGATTGGGCAATTTGCGTCCCTTTTTGTTAATCACGCAAACGAAAGCCAATCGGTAAAATGGTCTACCCAGAATCCATGTAAGGAATGATTAGCCTTACCTTCATCTATACTGAGATGCCCACTGCGCATGGGAAAAAAAGGGCATCCTTTTTAAAGGTTGACTTTCAAGGGGAACCCTTCCCCAAAAAATCGGGGGGAAAAAAGCGGAAGCTATTCAACTGGTACATCCCCGGGTTTTGATTGTCGGTTTCTAATCCCCAAGTACTGCCTGGAAACGCGGCCGGGATGCCAGCCAAACCACCTGGGCCACGTTCAACGCGAATCAGGTCCAACTTTGATGGGCGAACAATTCTGCGTGGCTCGTTTTTTGGGGTTGGTTTCAAGGGAAACCAAAAAGAACCGCCCCTTTCCCTGTTTTGGGGGTCCCCCTATTCTGGCGCAATTGTCTAAACAAGCTCCTGTTGGTTCACCGCTTTAAACGCGGGCTGGCTCTGCCTCCACAAAGCGTTGCCCAACCGCTCAAGTTCCCTTCCCGCGGGACAAGCGCATCGGATCTGGTCGTCCCTTCTTGCGGGGCCAACAGTGGAAGTCAGTAAAAATTCGTAAATACCTCGTGCAATTCTACTTTCCCCTTGATTCCTGCATCAAACCCCAGGGGCAATCCTACGGGTCACCCCCCGAATTTCAATTTAGGGGAGGAGACTCACCAGGATCTCACAGAGGAACCAACATCCTACAAAAAAGGGCGTTGCAACAGAATGCCCCATATTTTGAAGCCAAACATCAGCTTGTTTGTCAAACCAGTGAAAAATATATGATGTGGCACAGCTGAACTATCAGGGTTTTTTGTACGCCGTGAATACAGGCTCGCTCCAAACTCCGGAGTCGGTTTCAGGGGCTCTGCAAAATGACTTTCCGAAAAAAAGTCGGATTCACACCCTCCATGTTTGTCAAAAACATGACATATGGTCTGCACAGCTGTGAATACCGAAACACGGACGGGATCCAAATCCATAGCCTGCTGTTGCCAGGAAACACGCCGAACGCGCGGGGAACTAATTGACGACCCATCGCGGGTGTTCTGCTTACTAAGTTCAGACCATAGCGATGTGACGTAGGCCCACAGTGACAGAACCAAGAGCAAACGTCCAAAAAGAACCGTCCAAGCTGCATCCACGCCTTGTTTTTGCTCTTACTTGCCCAGTGGTTTTCTCGACATGGTGTTTTGTTGGGTTCCGTGTTAATCTGTAAGGGAAGCAAACAGTGTGTTGTAGCTTCCAGCTACTCCCGTTGAATACAGAAGAGGCGCCCCTGGCGATGTGACTTTTAGCTGTCAGTCTTGCTTGAATACCCCTTTAGCAGAAAAAAAACTGCAAACCGCACCCTAGAGCAAATCGAATTTCTATTCAAGGGACCTTCATGGAACTCCTGTCACCTAGATTCCCTTGAACATCCCAACAGAAAAACAAAATCGCGAGCTCCAAATCGGCACAGGAGGCTTACACCAATGGACATATCGGGTCTGAAAGTCGGACTTGAAACCAACTAATTCTGGTTTCAATCCCTTCAGTCTCCTACAATCCCAAACATAAGCTTTGTTGAGTCTCAGTTTCCCTTTTGAGCTTGGTTTAAAGGCGAGATCCAAGGGACAACCAATGTTGAGGGGTTCGCAAATTCCAATTTATTTACACCTATCCACAACCTGATTCAAATCCGAGGGCTTCAATAGGTTTAGATGTTGCTTTTAGTTTCGTGGCTCCGCCCCCAACGAAAACAAAAGACACCAAACAAAGTGTGGAACAGTTTTTGGTGCTTGGGTGGTTCTCAGGTTTGGGGAACAACTTCGAATGACCAACAGTTCTCCCAGTTTGCTCTTGGACGAGTCAGCACAGCATCACCCGCGGTTGCATATTCCGAAGCCAAAGCCCCCAACCGCCCCAAACGAAAAGGGCCGGCCGTTTTTGCGTCCTCACACACCCCAAAAAAAAAAAAACGGGGGAAAAGAACAAAACAAAAACAAACAACAAAAGTGGGCTTCCGGGCAGAATGAAGGTGCCCAGCACCATCAAGGGCAAGCTGTGGGGTCCTCCAAAAGAAATTATCGCCCCTGGTTCGGTGACCCGATCTATGGGTCAAAATGCGATCACCGGAAAACCACAGGTTTTGGTCCATGCTTCCATTTCCAGGGTTACATCGTGTGGCTACCCTAGTGTTGACCCACAGCCTTATCAGCTTCCTTGGCTTGGAGCAAGCCCCGTTTGCTGAGATGGTTTCCCATTTTCTACAAGGGGTGCGTCCAAATCCCAATCCCAAGCAACCAAGGGCGACCTGAGGTTAAAGCAGGGAAGCCCAACAATTTGACTGGCTGACCAGTGCCTTCGGGAAAAAGAGTGCCATAGAAAGTTATACTGATTTGTTGGAAATGGTCCAACATGGGCGGCTAAAACAAAAAATGGTGGCAGATTGAGTTGCAACCAGCCAGTCCCTTGAGCACTTCAAGGAAACGCGCCAAGTTAGACGAATGGACTCATGCTTCAACCAGATTAGAATGAGCAATTTTACGGCCACCAGACTGGCATGAGGGTACCCTACTTTAGTTTTTATTTTCAAGTACAAATAACATGTTCAGGTTCTGGTCCATATTTGTACTTCTCAAAAAAGAATCTTACATGGGCTAGTCCAAAATCACCTTCGGCTGATTCAGAGGGTCCGTATGCTTTTCCGTAAAGCATGCGCTTTTGGATGTATCCTTTTTGCGATGCGCGAAATGCACCAAACAAGGTCACTGCAAGGCGTCCCCAGACTCCATGAAGTTTTGGGTACACTTCTATCCGATGCCGACAAAAGGCTTGGGTCGAGGGCTCTCAGGTCTTTTCTCTCCTATGAAATGGTGGCAGGGACATGGTGTGTTGTTCGGTATTCACCTGGTCAAAGCGCCCTAATTGGGAATCCCACGTTACTGGGGCTAAAGGGAATGTGGTTGTGGATAAGCTCGAGTGGTTTATCTTGCTGGTGCTCAGCAGGGAATGAGAAATGGCTCATGACCCCCCGAAAAAACCATCCAACTGCTGGTTTCCTTTCAGGGGACCTAAGCCTGGGTTCACATTCCATCTCTCATTCCCTACCTATCGCACCAGCAAGTTGAAGGGCGATGCCAAAAACCTGCCTTTGGCTTGGCACGAAACCCATTTTTGTCTTCCCCAAAAGAGTGTGTTCGAGGCTCTTTTCCTCAAACGATCAGCTCGCCCATCCCCCCCCATAGCCCGCACACGCCCCACACCTCCCATCCCCCCTGAATGCTTAGAAGCTAAACCCACACACGCGCCCGTCGCCCCCAAAGCTTGCTCTGCTCAGCAGGCAATGAGGGACTGAACAATGAGGGACTGAACCTGAGGATTCCCTTCAAGCACACCACCAGTTGGACGGGTTTTTCTGCGGGTCATGAGCCATTTCCCATTCCCTGCATCTCTCGCAGCAACGAAACACCGCTTCACCCGCTCCGAACTGCTCCGGATTCTCGAAGCGCCCAGTGCGGGGCCCCGCAATGACGGCGCCCACCAGCGCGCCCACGCCGCCTGCGGACGCCGCCACCGTGCGAGGAAGGGGGTTGTCTCAATGGATATGGAACCCGCAAATGGCTGGGTTCCTTTTGGTTTCCCTCTAAACAAACAAGGAAAGCACGGGCACAGCACCGATAAAAACCAAACCCTCAAGGCTAAAGGCAACGAAATGTTGAAAGGTTACCAAATGCCAAAACATGCAAGGCAATGGACACAACGGAATACATGGGAACTCACAGGGTTACACTACCAAAACGAAAGACTTCCAGGAAAGGCTCGGAACCTTCCAACCCTGGCCACTCTAGAACCAAATGAAGGTTGTAACTGGGATGCTTTAAGCAGCCGAACCAGCAAAGGAAAAGAGGCTTGCTTCCAGGATTCCAAAAGGACACCAAAGACCAGCCATGGAAACGCATCTTATTTTCAGAGAGGTAGGAGGTATGTCTCTGCTGACCTTTTGGCCAAGGATGTTGCCCGAACCTTGCCCCTCATGAAAACGAGCCTTCGAAACAGCCAATGCTGTTCTTCTTGGAGTTGCTTGTTGATGCCCTACGCGACAGTCCCCTGCTGCCGTGCAAAACGTCGCCAGGACTTCCCAAGAAGAAGAAGAAGAAGAAGAAGAAGCAGCTGAATGCTACACTCCAAGTATGGAAGTTCAAAGTTCCTTTCCGAGAGCTCATCACTCTTCCGCAAAGGGTCTGTGAGTTTGATTTGTTACATCTCATATGTCATTTCTCAAGTCAACCAGCTGGGTTGGCTAGGGTTGCTCACCAAAAGGGAAATCCAAAAGACATGAGCTGAACAATTCAGCCACTTCCCCTCCTAGGGCTCTTGGGCTTTAGCCAAGGAGTAACCCAAGGCTGACAGCAACTGCCGAGGATTGGACGTTTCCAAGCGCGAGATGCCTAGAGCAGAAGCATAGATTTCCTTCATCCCCACCTGTCATGTGCACCACACCGCTGCCGGCAAAATCCATGAAGCCTCGGCAAGGTGTGGTCGTCGGTTTTTTTTTTTGCGGTGACCGCCTTGTGGCCCCGCGTCCCAAACAGAGTTTGGAGGTCGAGCCCAGATTTACCCATGGCAGGAAGGCATGTCTGCGGCCTTTCGCTTGCCTCGAAGGTTTGACCTACCAAGTCCCTGTTGACTGTGAGGACTGGCCAAGGGTGGCTCCCGATGAGCATCCTGACAAATTAGGGTCCCTCAAATACTCGTTCATCCAACTCGCTGGAGATCTGTGTCTTAGGAAACGTATTGACCCAGGATACTTTCATATCTACCTGGCAAAGCTTGGCCACCAAGGAAACCTACACACTTACTTCATAAATTTTATGGAATGTCGCCGGCCTTGCAGAGACACACCGCCCCAGCCGGTGCAAAGTGAGGAGATTCATCCAACTGTATTCCAGTAGGCAATGCAACCACTGCGGGTGCATCTCAAAACTCGCCTTCCACTTCGCTTTGGCTTGTCTCTTACTTCAAGTCCAGTCCACAGCTTCGCTCGGATTTCCATGGTCGTGAGTCCAAAATCCCACCTTTCCCTCACCAAACATGGCTTTGAGTGCACAGACTTAAGACGACCATTTGGAGGGCAATGTAACATGGTTTACTCAAATCCAAAAGCCAACCAGAGGAATCTCCGGTTCCCTAAAGAACCATGTGAAAGAGAGTTGATTCCCCGAAAGGGCGCTTCCGAATTGTAGGCTTCCCTTCAACCTGAAAAGGGTTCCAACTCTAATCGGTGATTTGGATTAGTGGTTTGGTGGTTAAGGAGGTGCTTTCCATTTCACCTCTACAAGAACCAGGGGTTCAAAGTTCCAAACCACCAATCCAAACCAGATCATTGCATTTTTCGAACCCCCCAAAACACGAGTGGAAATAACTCGCCGCGGGACCGGCGGAGTTGATGCTGGCCAGCCATCCGTAGCCCCAAGTCCAGGCCACAATCACCGGGTACACGAAAGCCTCGAACCAAAGTCGAGGGGAATATGGGTATCGGTCAAAAATCGGGAAACCCCAAACTGAACCCTGGTAAATGGCAACAAGGACTACAACCTGTGGTCCATATCCTGTGGTCCATATCCTGTGGTCCATATCCTGTGGTCCATATCCTGTTGTCCATATCCTGTGGTCCATATCCTGGTGGTTTAATCTTGACCCATACCCGTATAAGGGAAAGAATTACTAGAAGAATAGTCCCCTGTCATGAAATATGGCTTTGACCTACCCCACACAAGCCCCTTTCTAATTATTTAGGCCGCTACATTCAGAATTTCAATAGACCTTGGTATCACATGGTGGGGGTTTATGTCCACTGACCACGCTTTCACATTAGAATTGATAGCCATTTATGATACCACAACACAACCTGACAATCACACACACACACACATCACCCAAATACAAGCTGATTTGGGGGATCTCTTTTTCAGGTGGCTTTTTGGGAAATGGATGTCTCTGTCGTTTTTCAGATGCTAACTTTCTGGTGTCTTTAAAGGAACCCCAAAGGGACACCATGACGTTTTGAGGCACCCGTTTTTTAGAACACCAACATAAAAATCAAAAGCAGCCACAAAGTTCACAACAATACAAACAACAAACATAAGAACAAACAACAAACACTTTCAATAAATTAAACAACCGCAAACAACAGAAACAACAATAAGTGCAAGCAACAACAACCCAGCACCCGACAAAAACACTTCAAAGACCCTCTGTTCCGCGCAACAAGCAAATCAAAAACAGAACGTAAGATAACAAACAAGCAAACAAACAAAGTAAGAAACAACCAAACAGACAAGCAAAGAAACAAACAAACAAGCAAGCAAGCAAGCAAGCAAACAAGCAAACAAACAAACAAACGAGCTTGCAAACCACACAAGACACACAACGAACCCGCCGCGCCGTCATGAGGAAGGAGTAGCACACGTAGCCGCCGAAGCTCACGCGCTCCGCCACGCCGCCGGAGACGATGGTGGCGGCGGCCGAGCAGAAGGCCCACTGGAAAAACCAGTTCAGCATCCCCGTGGTGGGCTCCAACTGACCTCGGTCAGCACGCCTCCAGGCTATGAGTTTCCGAAGATACGCCGCTTACAGGTCAGCAGTCGTCAAGGGTATGAGTGTGGGTATGAGTGACTCATATGGTAGGCTACTCCTGTATATCCACTTAACATATGCCATTTAAATGATAGGGTATTCCTTGCACATGTCTCTTCCCAGTTATCTCCCTGCTTGTGGCTAACTTGGACCACTTGTCCCACATGCCCTGTTGTGCTTGTCGACTCTTGCCTTCTCACAGCGTGTCCCTGTGCTTGCTGACCCGGAACTTGTCACAGCTTGCCTCCCTCTTCATGCTTGCCTTCCCGCTGCTCAAATGCAGTGGCTGGATGAGAATTTCAAGGGGCAAAGTTGCCGGCAATTTGTGGTCCAATTGAAACATCTGTCCCCTCTGCTTTCAAAAGGCATTGGGGTTCAAAACCCCAAATCAATCCAACCACCAATTAAGGGGTACCTGAGGCAATACTTAGGGAGAAACCCAAAGCCAAAGCAACCCCCGCGGAAAAAATGTTGTGTTCTAGCTCTGATTTTCCGAAGGACTTGATATGGGGGTTTCTCACAACGGTGGACTCCTTTTGGTTGGTTATTTTCATGGAACCCAAACGGAAACCAAGCTTTGTTGGGGTCATTAGTTTGAGAAGCACCCGGATGACACTAAGAATTTGGGTGTGGGCTTACATAGGGGACCCCAAGAATGGTGGCTCCTCAAAAAAGGCAGCCCCATTTCTCCTTAACAAAGCTTGGAAGAATTGGCAGCATTGCCAGCATTGCCAGTGTGGCCTCACGATTGGCGACGCTTTTGGTTAGTTTATGGGACCCTCAAATTTAGGGCCTCGGATTTAGTTCAACTACATGTTTTTTTCAACATTGGGTAGAGGGAACCAACGTAAACCGCTTTCTAATATTCTGCCCTATGTGTAGGTTCGGCAATTACCGGCACCCACGCGAACCAAAGCTTGAGCCAAGCGGCCGTCCTGCTTGTACCCAACGAAGCCTCAGCCAGACGGGCAATGCGGTTCAGGGGCCCCGCAATAGGTCCCTCAATCCCAAGAGGGGCGAAGAGCGAAGGAGTTCTTCGGGGCTAGCGAGCTTCGTTGGACCATGTTTTCGGGGGGCCTTCTTGCCCCCTGACGACCACTGGGATAGAAGAAGTTTGCCTTTGGGATGCCCTTCAGAACCAAGCCCTCAAAAAAGATACACCCAAAGAAAGGAGCTCCTATAGCGGCCAAAACCGGAAAAAAAAAAAAAAAAAAAAAAAAGAAAAAACAAACAACATATTAGACCATCATTGGAAAGGTTCTGCAAACCTTTCCGGGCGGTCCCGTCTCTCCTCAAGGAAAAGACCTGAGGGATTCTACACTGAATGAGGAAACCCCTGCATTCCTAGCCAACAAAGGAGTGGGGCAAACCTTTCCTCCAGAACTCAATGAGAAACAGACGCAGAAATCCGACGACCGCAACGGGTGTGTGTGCAGGTGCGCTTGTTGAGGCATGTACATATCACATGCATTGCAACACCGACAAGTAATCCCCTTGTAGGTGGTTCGAGCAGCCTCCTAGCATGCAACTTGAATCGGCCAAAAATGAAGGAAGTCTCATTAAAAGACACGAACAACTCACGTGCCACACTCAGCGCTCATTAAGCAAACCACAAGTTGACATCTTTCAACCCCATGTATTGCAGCGGCTCGTGGCACTGTCCATCTACCAAACATGTCCTTTTGGTACAATAGATGGCCCTGGCAAATGGAATTAAAACCAATCTAAGCCAGTGCCATCTAGTTCCAATCCAACCAACCCAAAGAGGACACCCATGGGGCTATTCTCTACCCAAAACCAAAAGGACACCTATGCTGAAAGACACATCCATCCGGGTCTCAAACGGCTTCCCTTTGCAGGCTGCACATGAAAAGTGTGTCCCAAAGGGGGCGATGGCTCGTCCCCCCCCCCCCCGCTCCGGGGAGGTTTGCATCCTATAAGACCATGGGAACTCAGGATAAATTATCCCTCGAGTTATTGGGATCCTTCACTTTTGGGGTGGAACTATCATATCCAATTACTCTGCAAGATTCATCTGTGGGTCGACATTGCACTTCTTCACCGAGAAGGGAAAGGGGTCCAACAACAAAAAACGACATGCAAAGGGACGGTTGGTCTTTGGGCTCCTTTCCCCTCACCGTTCCGGAAGCTTGCCAGGCCTTGACGCAACGACAAGGACGCAGGACAGTGTCACAGACCCGCCAGGGATCAAACCGCACACTGCGGCTAGTCAAATCAAACCAACGACCTTTTGACTGGGGGATCACCATGTAGCCTGAAATGTGGGGAAACCACCCAAGAAAGAAACCTTCATGGGCGAGTTTCTGGCATCTCGTCAAAAAGGGCTTGTGAGGTTGCGAGTCTGGCAATAGTTCTGAAAGAAACAAATCGGAACACACCCGCACTGAACCAAGACCCAATCTGCATTGCTGATATGCTGGCCTGACTTATGATGTTAGCAAACTGAAATGGGTTTCTTTTTGAGGGTACCCTTTTTCTGTGATTTCAGAATGAAACCGAAAGGAAAACTGAAATCCATTTTGTGGGTTCCCTCAAAAAAGGAACCGCGCCCAAATCCGAAGACCTATGAGACACCTTCGGCATTCTATGGGTTGTCCTGAGCATCGAATCCGTTCCAGGATCCAACTTCTACACCCTGCGTGTCCAACATTTGCGTGAACCCTGGCTGGAGGGTTCGACCCATTCGTTTTACCACTTCTCGAAGTCACTCGAGTGGTAGGCTAAAGAGGAACAAGTCCCTTTGGACGACTTCGATCACCTCCGCGGGAGATAATTAAAAAACAAAAAAAATGAACCCACTCGCCCCAGCTGCCTTGCCCTCTGGAATTCCAACGCCGTGCGGCCGATGCCGAACCATTGCTCGTGGCCTTGGGCTTCTGGGCTCGCGTAAAGACGTTGCATGCTACATGGGTCGATGGTTCGAATCCAGCAGTCTACGAAAAACGGGGCGCGCCTTCGTCTTTTTTTCCGGGGTTGCCCTTCTTGGCTTGCAAGTGCCACAAACCAGCTTTGCCGAGCGGCCATGGGATAAAGGAACGGTCCAAGGGCGAATTTCATAGGGACATCCACCAGGAGACAAAACGCTCATGCCCCGGCGCATCGGGCAGCCCTTTGACAGGAGATCAATAGACAGCAACCATTGCTGGGCTGCCCTCAGATCCCCCGCTGAAAGATTAACTTTTAGTGGTTGAAAGGAAACTATCACTAAACACTAAAGGGCTAAAAGGCTAAGGAACCGGATGGCTGGGAGCCACCAAGATTGGTCAATCAAAAATGGCCTCGCGGCAAAGGGGTGGAACATCACAGCGCCTGCTTCGACTCGAGCGGCTGGAACACCAGCCAAATGGGAGCCATTCAATTGATAGACTCGGATCTGGGTATCACGGTGCGCCCTGAGACTGGGCGAGCCTTTGAAAACCCGCACATCACGAACATGAACCTGACTGGTGGAAGACGAGCTTCCTTCAAAATGGAACCTCTGGGTTCCATGTTAGTGGACAGGAGGGTATCTGGGAAAGACCGAGTGGGCCAATATCCTCTAGAGACTCCCAAGGATGACAAAACGCAAACCCAAAGATCCTCCACCTCTTGGCCAACGGAAACAGGAGATGCCGTGCAACCCTACAGGCTAGGCACTCCCTCCGCCCCCGGGCCGCTTCTCCCCCGCCGGTTCCAACCATTTCCCGTAACTCTGTAGTCGCAACCACAAACTACCATACCCAAGCCAGGCACAAAATTCCAAACTATGCACGAATTGCTATACCCCCATCTTTTAAATCGAGGATCCGGGCTTCCTTCTGCCACCCCGAATCCCTCCTTCTGCCTCGTTTCTAAACCCAGCCGCCGCTGGGTGTTGTCATTTCTTCGGCTGGGTTTCGGGTCCCGGGCGCCAGCAAGTGCCCATGAGCCGTGTGACAACTCTTCGGGATGGGTTCTTGCGACCCACCGGCTGAATGAACACCGGCTGAAACCCAGCGCACGAGAACACACCCAGTCGCCGCGGCTGGGTTTCAGAGGAGGCAAAAAAAAATCGGGGGGGGGGGGGGGGGCAGTGTCTCAAGGGAAGCTGCGAGTTTTGAAAACGAAATGCAAGCCGAGAGTTACCCTCATCTTGACTTCGGATTCATCCGGAGACACATGCCAATCCGAGACATCCATGAAGTCCGCACTGACAGGGGAACCCCTTAACAGTATGGTCCGGAGTCCGGGTGGTTTTGTGTGTTTGTGTTTTCTAAGTGTACCCTTCCCGAGGGGGAAATCCACAGAAACTCACATTGGGCCACCTATTGTGACACATGAGAACTTCGGAGTGGTAAGGACCGAAGTTCTCAGTGCTTCCAAGTTTCCCTATGGAAATGATGATCTAATGGGGGGTCCTCTAACTGGAATCCTCCAGATTCCAAAGTCATTGCTCCGAGACAAAAGAAACTGGGGGCCCAGACCCATGAAGCCGTTCTCGAGCAGGCCGTCCTTCATTGGGCCGCCGTAGGCGATGGCCCAGCCACTGAACCACCACCCGATGGTGCCGACGCAAACGTCCGACAAGTTCTTGAGCAAGATGTTCTGCACCTGAAAAACAAGCGTGTTTCCTTCTTTTTGCGGCTTGCCAAGTGCACTGAGGGCGCGGCGCTTTGAGGGAGGGAAGTGAAAAGCAAGTTGTTTCTTTCAAAATGGGATTCGCACCCGCTGGTAGTCAACGGGAGACCAAGCGCAAGCCAGCGGCTGGACGGCCGATTTTTCCGACTCCTATCTTGAGACAAGCTTTCGACCTGTGGATGTTCTGGGAAAAGCCAAAAACTCGCGCAGGTCAAAACCCCCCGAAAAGGAAAAAACACATCAGAAGGCCCATGGCACAGCTACGTGACGACGTGTGTCTTGCGCATGGGCTTCGGTTTCAATGAGCCCATGCGGTTCGTCCCCGTCCCCTCAATGAGTCCATGGGCTCCTCCGAGTGATCCCTCTCGCGTAACCGAGAAGAGTAAAACGAGCCGAAGACGCGAGGGGCCGCTTGAAACATATCGAACGGCGGGTGCAAATCTATGGGTTTCCTTTGGGCTTCCCAAGCAAGCCTGGTCTCATGGGAACAAACAAAAAACATGTGTTGGGAAAAAATCACACATGCCAAGTGACCGGGTTAAAATAGAACTTATCTTCCTGCCTACCGCGTGCCTTCCCTTGTCAAGATCGCTTGTGCTTCGAAAGACGAAGCAGGCACACAGGCTGGGCCCAAATAGGTTTGCCATTTGACCTCCGTTTGGAGTGGAGGGGACGCCCTTGAGCCCTGACTCTGCTCATGAATTGATCTCTCTCATACTTAGGTCTCACCAGGTCTTGTCGCAAATGTTGCGGTCAAGCAAGTAGCTTCTCCAGAGCTCTCTGAGCCCACCTCATCCCGAAGCCATCTCTAACCCTCGCCATTGTACGTGAAACACGCGCCCTCGGATACACCTCCAAGAGTCAAATCTTTGTGCCGAGTCTCACGAGTGGAATATGAAAAATCGTATGCAAATACTGCGATTGTTTCCGCATCGGATGGATATGCCACTCCAGATTAATCAGGAGTGGCGAGCTCCCGTAAACTATCCAATTTAGAAAAAAAGCAACTCCTTTGATTAGAAACGTCATGAGTTCCAGGTTGTTGGTATGACAGGTCAACCTTTGTTTAAGCATATTTGAACCACCAAGCATCCTGGGATGCCCCTTCTTAAATGGAAGCAGGACCTAGTTCTTTGAACGTTCTCCAGCTTCATTGGACGGGACCCCCCGGAATAAAAACGACGGGCTGAATCCGAAGTAAACATTAAACCCAATGTCACCCAGTCTGTAACAAAAAAGCGACGGAGTTCCTTCCCCACTCCTTTAAAACCTTCGCGTGGATTCCCTTGAATCAATGCCCCAATGTCATTCCCTTGAATCAGTGCCCCAATGTCATTCCCATCACTGGGACTGCTCCTCTGCAAACGAAGCCGCACCCCACCCCCCCCCCACCCCCCCAAAAAAAAAAAAGGACCGAGCAGTTACTTTGGAGCTGGGATGATTTCCAAGAAGGGCAAACCCGAAGCTCACCCTCCGAAACTGGGCGTCAAGGCGTTCTTGGCGCGGCAGCAGCCGGACCTCAGAGTTGAGCCCAGGGCGGTGGCTCTTCTGCTTGGGTCTTCCCCCCTCAAAAAAGAAATGGGACTGGTTGAGGAAAAATCCACGAAACATATTTTGGAGGGGGGGGGGTCAAAGGGTCGGAAAAACAGGGGCAGCCCCAGAAAAACATTGTGGAGGGTGCCAAGGGCCTAAAAACTGGTTCCGTTCAGCCAAGAAAAACTCCGTCCATCTTTGCTTGGGCATGGCTTGAGTCGTGCGCTCTTGTTTTCACTGCCGGCAAGGTGTCAATGCCAGGGATTCCTCCAAAGGCATAAAGGCATGGCTTCTTGACACGAACACACACGTAGGCGGCAAGCACGGGTGGACCACTTTGGCAGGGTTTTTAGCGAACAATCCATTTCAATAGTCGCCAAGATAAACATGCTTGTTTGAAGCCTGGTAAGGGTGATGTTGATCTGACCAAGATGTTTTGCTCACCTCCCAAGTGTGACGGTCGTTACTGTGAGACTGTTGATTGTGTTTAGCTTCTCCCAGCACTCTCCATACGCTTTTGAGCATACAAAACTGAAAGGAATCCTGGGAGGTTTAGTGTTGGGAAGTGGATTGCACAATCCCAGGTCATTTTCTTCGGTCCCCTTTCACTCCACATCCACCGGGAGGTGTGCCATTTTGGGGGGGCCCATCAGGAGACACCCCCAGGCTCTTTCATTAGTATGTTAAAAGTTGGGATTTGGACCATTGGAGCCCCGGAAATGTCGTCCTGCGGATGTCCAGTACTTACCTTTTCCTCGTATTCCTTTTTAGACGAACCTCTTTCCTTGTGCTTCATTTTAAGCCAACCTTGAAAAGGGTACACGCAAATTCGCGCAACCTTGACAAAGATCCGGCTCCATTCCGGGCTCCGGGCTCCACCATGGCGAAGCCGGCCTGCATGAACATCACCATGGCACCGCAGACGATGAGCCTGCAGTCTGTTAAGAACTGGGCTGCCTGGGACAAAACAAAAGCTAAACAGCCCAGAACCCCCTGGAACCCTTTGGAACCCTCCCTAAAAGCTGCCCCAAACCAAATCTGCCTGTCATGGACACCTCGTTTCGGGGCGAACTGGGGCGGGGGGATATTCTCCGGCTTATCCGTAGCTTCTGAGCTTATCCATGTCTAGCCCCCCCTGGAAAAATTACACCAGCATAGGCCCCGGAGAACATGGGAAATTTGATCGGAATGGCTCATTTTCTGCAGCGAATCGACTTAGGTAGTCAGGAAGCATGGTGATACTGCACCACCAGCCATTGCGCGCTAAATATGAAAACAAACAGCTGCCTGGAAAAATTCAAGCAATTACCCATCCCCTGTTGGTGAGTTTGGGAGTTCACATCCCTTGTTGGTTTCCTGTTGGGAGACGTGTAATTACCAATCCCCTGTTGGCTTCCTTTTGGGAAACTGGGAACAAATAATCATGCCGGAAACTGAGTTGGAAATTCAACATGAAACATTCAGACACCCTCAGACCCTCGGGCCCTCAAACCCTCAAACCCTCGGACCCTCAGACCTTCAAACCCTCGGACCCTCAAACCCTATGCATGTTGGTGTACATGTGTGCATCTAAGCATGCCTCCACGAATGTGTCAATATGCCTGCATGCATGCATGCAGCGTGCGTGTATGTAGGTATGTATGCAAGAATGTATGCACGCGTGTCCGTGTTCATGTATGCATGTAAGCGGGTGCGCAAATGTGTATATGTGCGTGTGCGTGTGTGTATGTGAAAGCATTGCGCCGTGAATATGTCCATGTTGTGTGCACGCATGCATGCACACATGTATGTATGTGTGTATATGTGTATGTATGTATGTATGTATGTATGTATGTATGTATGTATGTATGTATGTATGTATGTATGTATGTATGTATGTATGTATGTATGTATGTATGTATGTATGTATGTATGTATGTATGTATGTATGTATGTATGTATGTATGTATGTATGTATGTATGTATGTATGTATGTATGTATGTATGTATGTATGTATGTATGTATGTATGTATGTATGTATGTATGTATGTATCTGTGTATGTATGTATCTGTGTATGTATCTGTGTAAGTGTGCCTGTGTCGCCGTGTGTGTAAGTATACATGCATGCGCGCGCATGTGTGCGTGAGTGCGTGTATGCAAGTATGCATCTATGCATGTGTGTGCGTGCGTTCATGTATGACCGTGCAAAAACGTATTTGTGCACGCGTGTGTATGAATGTTGGTATGCAAACATGCATGCATGTGCGTACAGCATGTGTGCAAGCTATGAGTGTAGGTATGTAGGTATGTGAATGCATTCGGTATGTGTGCATGTTGGACTGTCCGTATTTATATGCACGGTTGCCTGCGTGCATGTATGCATCTCTGTGTGTACGCATGATTACGTATGTATGCGTGTATTCGTGACTGGGCATGAATGTATCTATGTAGGTATGCGTGCATGTAGGTACGTGCTCATGCATGTATGATGCGTTTGCACGTGGGTGTGAAAGTGTGCGTGTGTGTGTGTACATGACATGTATTTGTGTCACGCATGCATGTGTGCTGTGTGTGCAAATGTGCTTACGTACGCTTGCCTGCCTGCCTCCTGCCTGCCTCCTGCCTGCCAACTGATTTTGCCTGTTGGCACGCACGCTGCGTGCATTTCGTGAGCGAGTATGTTGTAAACCTGCATGTAGAAGTGTGTGCAACTGTGTGTGTGTGTGCGTGTGGGGGCGCGTGTGCTACCTCTGTTTTGTCCGAATGCCTCTGCGTCAGGATATCTGCATGCCCATGTGCCTCCATGTATGTCGACACACAGGCATGCGTACATCTCACGCATGCAGGCATGCACGTGTGTATGCGTGAATGTATGTGCGCAAGTGGGTTTCTACGCGTGTCCGTGCGTTACGCCTCTTCGCGCACACATACCTATTTGCGCTCGTGTGTGTGTGTGTGTTTTCTCAGGACCGACTGTATGTCCTTATCCTCGATTTTCCAACAAGAATGTGTATGTGCACGCGTGTGCGCACATATGTGTGTAACTACTTCCGTGTTGTTGGCGCGCGCCTATGTCGCTCGGCTCGGCAATTCGCTGCTTTGTCTCACCAAATTGCAGCATTGCAACGCGACGAAGCCGGTTGTGACAAACTGACCAGCATTCCCGGCCGCACCACTTGCAACGTTAAAACAAGCGCCGGCCACTTATGTTCCACGTAGAAAACCACACGCCGGCCACTGGAAAAAAACAAAACACGCGCCAGCCCACTGAAATCAAACGCACGAACATGCACACACACACAAACACACACACACACACACACACACTCACGAACACGCACGTCTGGTTTACACAGAACAGCCATCTGGTGCCACTGCGGAGGGCAACTACTGGGCTGGGGCCCTGGCCACATGTGGTCCAGGGCGCCTTTCACCTCTTCGCTCGCCTGCGAACAACAAAAACGGCTTTCGCCGGCCCTCTCGAGCAAGGGCTTTAGTTAAAAGCGGTCGATCGCCGAGTATTGACATTGGCGTTGCCTTTTTACAACATAGCTCATAATAATCCAGGATAGCTACAGTGTGCGCTGACCCCTGGCGCATGGGAAAACAGCATCAACTCCTTGGAAGTACAACAAGAGACACCAAAAACTAGAACATATTTCTTCGAAAGGCAACGAAGACAAAGCAAAGGTTCTTGGTGAGCGGGCGAGGATTCCCTCGGCTCACAACCTTCTCCGTCCTAAAGCTGATTCCCACTGAAATGTTCCTTAACACCCGCTTCAGCAATCTTGAGTTCCATCTCCATCTTTTTTCAGCTCACAAGTAGCTGTGTCGTCCGCTCCCGGCTTTGCGGCCAAGTAGTGGAAGTAACCTATTCTTGTCGCCACCTCCGCCGCCACCTCCACGGCTGACGCCGGCGCCTCCTCCGCAAATTCCTCCACGGCTGGTTGCTCCACGAAAACAACGATTTTGTCCATCCATAGTACTTACCCCTGAGATCCCCACAGCTGGACCTCGATCAATTTTATTTAAAAACAAAAAAAAACAAAAATCCCGTTCCTGTTCGCATACACCAAACGGAGGGGTAGTCCGGATGGTAACAAAACAACAGTCCATGATTCCATGATTTGGGCACCGTCAAAAGGCGCTTAGCCGCACCGCTTTCAGGGTGGAAGCTTGCATACCCTAAATATGATAAAAACATCACTTACACAAGTGGTGGATCAGCTCCAAAACTTCAATATCGACACCTGAGAAACTATCTGGATCTTCGATCGCTACGGGAGGAATCCTCACTATGGGGCAGAAACAGGACCCGAATTGGCCCCAGGTCAGGGCGCGGCTCCATGTCGCTGTCAAACTTGACATCAGATTTTACAAACTCCGTGGATATTTTTGTTTTCGCCGAGAAAAGACATCCAACCACAACACCCGCTCACGGCCGCTCGCGACCGCTCGCGACGTGCGCGCCGTGTAGGCCCGGGTGACGTTTGTGGTGGCCCCGTGGATGCTGGGAGGCAAATCATCCTGCGCAAAGACAGAACGACTCCGAGCGACCCAGAGAGGCTTATAGAAATGGAGCTAGTGCATTTCCATGGGTAAATTATCATATGACTTGAAATCGTTCACCAACCCCAAGCAAGGCTTTGCAGAAGGCACCCTCATGGGCATTAAATCCTTCGTCACAAACAGGTCGTCAAACAAACGTGAAGAATTATACTCGATAATTAGGGGCCCCTGCTTGGACTCTTGTTATTTGTGGTTCAAACGCAGCACTTGTCAAAAACCAGGTCACGTTGCTGGGCATGTTAGTGATTCGGGGACAATAAATGGAGCTAGCCACGATGCATGTTTTCCATCATGGCAGGCATCAGCCCACGAGTCTTCGCCAAACGCCATCCGAACTCATTGATCTCCCTGCACGGTCGCGTTACATTAACCCTTCCGTGATACCAAAGACTATCCCAATGCTAGACAAGCAACCAAAAGTTTTGGCCTGTCAACACATTTCCTATGGTTGAGGTCTGCAAGCTCACAATTCCTAGTTGCTCTCTCTCTCTCTCCCTCTCTGGAGCATGTAAGTGTGTCTTTCTTCGGAGTTGATACCCCCATTTTGTCTAGTTTTCAGCAAACACAAACGAATAAAACCACAAACAGAAACCGCCATTTTGAAGGGTACCATGCAAAAGACGCTCCCACTATGAGTATGCATACTCATAGCAGGAGCTGAGTATGCACTTAGACTATCGCTTGATATTGGCTTGGCGCTTTCGAGGTCAAGTTTTGGAGTTGGTCAAAAGCCATATCCTACGAGTTGGTGAAAATGGGGGGGGGGCAGTTAGTTGATATGGGGCCAAATAAATACACACATGATTCGCCTATGACGGAAATGTTGATTTTAAAGTACCCCACAACCCCATGTCAATTATTTGAGCCCACACATTCTGTCGCCTGAAAAAAGCAACATGAACTCCGAGTTGTTGTTTCGGAGTCGTCAGCTTTTTCGCGCTGCTTTAGGTGGCACAGATCGGCGGCACCAGCGTCCACAAATGAAGGGGGGGGTGCATGTTTGTGACAAAGATCCATGCGGGTGTGCCCTTTTTTGAGGGTACCCTTTTTGTTGTTCTTTGGAAAACCAAAAGGAACTCCCACTCTTCCGGGGCTCCCCACAAAAAAAAAGAGACGCGCCTCGCCGAGGTTTGTGGTTCTTCGGGTTTTGTCACTCCACTTCCCTCTGCACTCCCTCACATTCCCCCGCCAGTTGGAGGCGGCGCTCGGAGCTCTGCAGTTGCTGCATCTGCTGGTCCAAAAGCTGCTCCTACCCCAATGCGTGTTGGATTTCGGTCGCAAGCAAATTGTCCCTCGGCCTCACAAGACAGACCCAATTTTCTAACCTAAGCCAGGTTAAGGGAAACTGTGCGGGCCAGTGCTTGCCAGGAAACCAAGTCAATCATCCGTCCAATAAAGTTCCGAAATTACGATTCCTAAACCAGCAAATAAGGATTCGGTGGGCTCGATTGATCCCTGATGGGTTGTTCCATTCCAACTCAGATATCAAGATATAGTGTTGGCCCCGCACGTTCCGAGCACCGGAAAAAAGCTTAAAATGACTTGGCTCATTCCGAATCGCTAGCAACTAGAGCTTCAGCATGATTTCGCTGCCCTGTTGATTAGCATTCGCCGGCTCCGTTTGAAAGGTGTTGAAGGTTGACTTGGTAAAGAAACAAAACTTGTCCCAAGCCTTGAGACAGAACTACCAATCTCCGAGATTCCTCAGCAACAGTGCCCAGCCAAGGTCGACCCACTGCAGGGTGGAAAAAAGGACGGACAACACATCTGTCACCTTGGAACGAAAGCTCAAGGCTCAACTGATTAGATTCAAGGGCTGTCATGCACTCCATGTTGGGTGTGCAGGTGTACACCTGGGGTTGAATAGTCAACTTTACTGGCAAACCCTGTCTTTTCGACTATAATCCCGACTATGTATAGCTACATGTGTATGTATATAGATAAATGCATATGGATAGGTGTGCATTTTTTATTTTTCAACGGGCCAGCCCCTGCCTCCCTTAAGCCATGGACCCAGACCTCACCGCCCCGGTCCCGTATGTGTATATACATATATATATATATATATATATATATATACATTGCATGGCTTGTATGCATTGAAGGCACTGGGGCACACACATGTCAACAGTCCTTGATGGATTTGGAGGATGGGGGCCCCCCCTCCCCCCCCTCCCCCAAAAGAAAAGCCAGCGAAAATTATTTGGTTTCCATTTGAATCCACCCCATCAAAAAGGGAACGCCACATCCTCCGCACGAACAGAGACCCTTCCGTCCTGCTGCGCCAGCAGTCCTCAGAGCCAAGCACTCTCAAGAATAAAACCATCCACCAGATCAGCAGGGGAGAGAGAGAGAGAAAGAGAGAGAGAGAGAGAGAGAGAGAGACAGACAGAGAGTTGGTAGTACTGGGCTGTTCAAGAAACCCAAATCCCAATCCACAATCCCTATAGGGAAGCCACTACAAAGGGGACCCTGAACGTAACCCAAGAGGATTGTGGATTACCTTTGAACAGCCCAGGTTACTGGTGTCCCTTCCAAAGCCCCTGTGCGGCTCGCCAATTCACCGCCTCCCAAAGATCCGA